TGGTTATTATATGGTTATTATATGGTTGTTATATGGTTATTATATGGTTATTATATGGTTATTATATGGTTAATGATGGTTAATAATAATCTGGTTGGTGGTATACCTACCCCTCTGAAAAATATGAGTTCGTCAGTTGGGATGATGAAATTCCCAATGGAAAAATAAAAGATGTTCCAAACCACCAACCAGTTAATTGATGTATCATTCTCTTCTGCTACATGTCACGCAGTCAAGAAACGCTGCTTCCACGCTGCACAGTTGGAGCTTCCGCGAATACCAACAGTGATAATAAACCAATCTCAACGGTTTAACATTGGTTTAACAATCTTAATTAATGACTTTAATGACCAATAATTGTACTTAATGGCCAATCAACTAATGAGTTTTATATAATCCATGAAGGGATTTTCTGATTCTGACTGGGACTTACAAGTAGTAGCCAATCAATTCATGCAGCCACAAGCTGGGGATGGACATCCAAGATGTTTCTCAGGGGTTCTCTATGTCATTGCAAGGAATCCCATGAGCAAAGCATGCCAATTAGTGACGTAGCAGGGAAATATTGTCAGTAGCTCACGGATTATGTAGAATGCTCTCACCCTGTGGTTGCAACTGGAATATGCCAATATGCTGTGGGCCAATTGAGCAGTTTCAAAGACTCTAGTTGGCTGACGATTTTTTTGGGGTTTATAATGATGCCGCTGCTCTATTACGGATTATCATCATGATTCAGGAGCTGGGAATCCCCATCGACCACCAAACATCACCATCATCCAGTCCGTTTTTGACACTGCCCAATTAAGCCATACCGAGTTCAGGGGTCTGGCGGTTGGACCAGGGATTTCGATTGGGTGCTGGTCGTGTCCCGCTGAATGATTCACAGGTTGTGTTAACTGTGGGGAACCTGTAAGGGTCCCTGAAAATTTTACTCAAACATCCCATGCTTTATCATGTGTTCCTAATACAGTGGGCATATTAGAGGGGTAAATCATGGTAAACTCACCACTTTTGGAAACCCAAATGATAGTTGTGACCCATCAAAATACATCAGAACAGAAAATGTGGAATATCTCCCTTTCTTGGGACAAACCCAGCTAGCACAAGCGCTGCTTCAAATCTTTTCGGCTCGGAAGGCCAAATAGCTGCGGATGGCCACGTCCAGATTTTCCTGGCACCGGCGGGACGAGGGCCCGGCACCGTGGAGGTCAAGTAACTCATGGGGGATCCTCGAAACCTAAGAGTTGGGGATAGTTGGGGGGGCTTCAACCCTTCCGTTGGGGATAGTTGGGGATAGTGGGGGATAGTTGGGGATAGTTAGTCAACGAGCATTCATCAACTAAGGTCTGCTGACGCATTTAAACTCTATACCCTCTTGACTGTATACCGTATACCATATCTAACACGTTCGCTGATTGGAGTAGCTAGGTAGCCACATTATCCCGTGCAAACCCCTGAGTTGCTTCACCAAGTTTCCCTCGACATAAAGCCGCGTTGAGCTACTGCATCATCCAGCGCACCTCAATTCTGCCAAGGCCAGCTGTGTCTGGGGTAATCCATCAGATGGGTAGTTCAAACTTCAAAGCTGAAACAGGACCGCGAATTCTCCGATCCCAAAAAGACTGAAGCACATCAAAACTCGAAGAAACAATTACCGAGCAAAAATCGAGCAAATATGATCACATGTACTTTCCTCCATCAATGGTGGTCAAATATAAACCATCAAACATCAACCCCCCAATAAAATCATGGTATGTCATGGTCACATCCCCATGGAAGAAATGTTAGTACAGCAATAAAACGCCCCATGTTTCTTAGATGGGTATGGATCAATACCTAATACCATTTTTAGGGGGTTATTCACATCCATAAATCCCAGCTATTTTGATGTGAACAAAAAAGGGGTACTATTGGTTTTGACACACTGCCAGATGTTTATAGCACCCATATAGCACCCATCAAGATAGCCATGTTCATCCAAGGATTCCAAGGCACAGAGGCGCCTCGCCGTGATCTTCGTCTCGCGCTTGGCATTTTTGCGGCTCCAGGCCGCCAGTGCGTGTAGGAAGCTGCTGGGGAGACGCTGATGCGAAAGAAGCAGCTCGAAACAGTGGAAGGGATCCTCCAAGTGTCCTGGGTGAAACAGGGGGGGTTCAAGGGTGTCAATGGGAACAAAAATAATGCATCTAAACGATTCAACGGGATTTAAAGGTAAGGAATGGGATTTCATGGGAAACTCAAACATGTGGTTTGATGATGTTTAATGGAAATTGACCTGCCAGAAATGGAGGTGTAATGATGTCCTCAAATGGGCAAACAAAAAAAAACTCTTTGGGGAAATCATGGGAAATCACAGGGTTGTGGAAGTTGCGGAGTAGCAAAGCAAATGGAAAATATCGCTCTGCTTATCGGGTCACATGCGAAGGTGGGATCTTACCAGGCACCCAGGAAAAAAACCACTCGCCTGAAGAGCCAAGTCTCGACAGCTGTCCTGAGCTGGAATCTGATGGAGATGAAGCCACTCAAGAGAATTGATCCAAAAAAAACAATGTGTCTGGACTTTCTGACTTTACAACTTTGACCAGTCCTGAATTGATTGAAGATATTGAAGTCCATCTCCCAAGGTCCACCAAGCGTCATCCCCCAGAGCCTCGAGCCGTTGGACCAAGGCCTCCAGCAGAGGCGCCGCCGGCTGCGCCTCCAAAGCCCTCAGCAACGCAGGCAGGGGCGCCTGGCACCGTGGCTGTCTCCACCATTTTGTTCGATGTTTGTCCTATAAAAAACCATAAAACACATCAAAATCACTTAAAACATCTTAAAACCTCCGTTTCTAGGGGGTTTCCAACATGGCTGATTGCCGGATACCTGAACCATGGTTAAATCCCTTTGGGTGGCTTGAAACTAAAAGAAAGATGGCTTACCAATTGGGCTCATCACCCGTCAAGTCAAGGCCTCAGAGACCCGCGAATCACGAACCACACCTCTTTGAGAAACAGCACTTTTCTCTGCCGCAACAGCTCATCTAAAGGCTCTTGCAACCTAGTCTGGCCATCGGTCTTCGGAAGGTTAAGGAACCAGGGATACTTAAATAGTTTAAATATTAACTATATAAATGTGTAATTAAAGACCCCAGGCATCCTCACAACTACTGGGTAGGTGCTGGCAGTTGCTGAGGATACCTCGCTTAGGACATTCAGGAAAATATTCTACAGTACTTGTTTGAGCTTTCTCCAATAGCCAGGTTTTAATGTCACGAAAAGACGGACATCCACTAAACAGTGTGGACAATCATCTTACTCTCGGAGTCTCACAGGAGGAAATCCATGGAGTATGTCAACTACCAGAATCGCAAGCCTCCAATGTCTTAGGGAGCGGGGTCCGATCTCAGAGAACATCAGTCCAAGAAACCCTCCAAGTGCCTCAAAGTAGGTTTCAATGGCCACCTGATTGCTGGGAAAATGAAACTTTAGGGGGCAAACACCAACTGAGTCATTGAGTTGATCTGAGTTGCTCATTGGATATCAGCTGGTGTCTGCAAATTTCGTGCATGTCTGATTGGACGGTGATGGTCCGTATCTTGTTCTTTGGCTGTGCTTGTGCCGTTGTTCTCCAGCTGTTTTTGCTTCGTTGTTACACCTGTCCCACCCAAAAATGTGGTAAAATCAGTCCAAAAAAATCCACATTATTCCATAGATATCATATCTTTTCTTAAGCTTTCTATATGTTTCCAATTTTTTGACCCAGCTTCATCTCCAAGGCGCCATCTCCTGGTATCCCAGATCTCTCAGCTCCAGCGCTTGCCGCGCCAGACGCTGCAGCAGCTCAGGTCGGGTGGCGCCACCAGCAGCCAGACACGCCAGGGTTTGGGTCAAGCCGGTGGCGTCCAAAGGACACTGCCTGGATCGCCAGAGGTTGCTGGTGCCCTGAGAACCAGCAGTTTGCTAAGTGCCAAATGGAAAATTTGCCGAGTTCGGATGATTTATCATTAAGACATTAAGAATGGTGATGCTATGTGATTTTTTTCCAGAGCAAAGTCTTAAAAATTACCAGAGGGGAGTTTTCGTGGAAAAAAAATATAGTTCGACCCTGAGGGCTGGTGTGGTTGGTTTTCTAGGGACAAAAATTGGTTGGATGTTTTTTGTTCGACTGGAAAAAACCGGCATGGTTTGGGCATTCAAATCGTTGAGGCCCTATCAATGTACGGAAAATGATGGCTTTTAAGCCGCAAAACTGAGGAGTTCATCGCCTCTGGATTGAAATATGTAGGGGAAACTTACTGGAAACCCTGGGTTCTCACCTGTTTAACATGTCGCTTTCCCTCAACATCTTCCCTTCATCCAATTCTCGGATGCCTTCGAGGGATCATTGCATAGTAAGAAGATCCAAGGCATCGAGTTTCAGGTGGGATTCGGTAGGAAGTGTGGCCAACAGTGATAGGACTCTGCGATTCTGGTTTGTAAGTGGATTTCAACCCTCAAAAAGGGATGTGTTGGGATATACCCCCAGAAAATCTAACCAAGAATCGCCGATTGGCACATCCAAACATCATATATATCTTGTTATTAATCTATCCCGATATATCCCAGTATATCATATTATATCCCATTTTACGATCATAAAATTGTAGACTATACCCCCATGTTGGTTTGTTGAATCCCCAACAACTATCTCCATGAAGTGCCCAATCAACTCCCGAGGATGGCGGTGGTTGGCTTTTTGTTTGATCCTGACTTCTCCAATAGTAAACCTTGGTGCAATTAGTTCTATAAAAATCCCAAAGAAATCCCACAAAGACCTCATAAACCAACATTATTACCATTGTTCCCGCAAGAATCAACTGATTACTAGCGCTAGTCCGACAGTCACAGAAAACTCCCATCGATACTTAGCTCATATATCCCCATGCATCCTAGTTTTATCTAGTTTTCGAGGGGTGAGATCGCACACTTACTAACCACGAATCGCCAAGTCTGGTAATATCCAAGCAGAAACGAACCTCGGTGTCATCGGTCACATGGCTAGAAAATCCCCCTATGGAGTTCCTTTGTTTCCCTAGCCACATTTGATGACCAAAGGGTACCCAGAAAAATCAGAAAACATCGTCCTTGAAAAAAATCCAACCTATCTAAAAGTGCCAGAAAAATATAGAAAAGCTCATATGTCCAATTAATAAACTATGTAAAGTCTCCTAAAATATAGAAATACATATATATATAGTATATTATATATATAATTATATATTATAATATATATATATATATAATTATATATAATTAAATATATATATATAATATATAATTATATTAATTATAATATATGAATCCCATGAAAATATTGCCAGCCTCAAGCTCAGCTCCAATTCCTCCAGCGCTCTCATCACCGTCACCTTCTTCCGCACCGCAGGAGGCTGCCGCATCAGCAACTGCCATGCCTTGGATGCGCTGTGGCCCATCCCCAGTTTTGGATGGTTTTGAGTCATCCCCTGGTGATTTTTGTTGCCAACAGACCTGTTGCGATGGCCAATACCCCATGTTTTTTTAATGGAAATCATTGGTACATGACATGACCATATTAGCTAAGGGGATGTTCACCATTGGAATGTGACATTAGGAGCGGAGGCTTCAACTTGCAAGTTGGGATTCATCTATATTTTTTGGAGGGTAGCTGGAAGTTGGCACGCGAAAACACCCTTCAAAATGAATATAACTGGTTGGTGGTTTTAACCATCTTGAAAAATATTCATCAATGGGAAGGATTATCCCATATATTATGGAAAATATAAAATGTTTGAAACCACCAACCAGATATCGTATATATATACCGTATATTACAGCCTCTCTCTCGGTTTGTCCTGCAATCACTTCGATCCTAAGGTAGATGATCCTGTTGTGTTTTCCTACAATTCCTGGCGAGTTGAACCCCCTTGTTAGGGGAAGTTGGCAGCTCGGGGTCGAAAGACTTGGAATCAGGGGGAGTTGCATGGTCTCAACAATCGAAATAAAAATCGATTTTCATGGGGAATCTCTGGATATCTCTGGAATCCTGTTGGTGTATGATGGGTCCCCAACGGCCCTGCCCATCTAATTTCATTCAGACTGCGTCCAGTATCTCTTCAAGCGCCATGGTCGGCGCCAGAACCGTCAGCCTGGAGGTGTCATGAAACACAAACGTGTCGACCACGCAGCTTAGGATCCCACTTGTCCCTTGAAGTTCAGTTCAACGTCCCTATGCATGAAGGTTTCATGAATGTTTCATTTGTTCAGCACGCAGATGTACCTGTTTGCTGGTATATGCAGTATACAGGTACCTGTGCGCAGGTGTATATATGTATACAAGGGTTTGACCGTGAATTGAATTGACTGTATGCACAACTATTAAGAAATATATACATATATAACTAACTAACTCTCTGTCTGTCTCTCTCTCTCTCTCTCTCTCTCTTGTTTCATATATATACTTGAGGCCGGGGGTGGATGACGAAAGCTAGCGGGGTAGGAGAAAGAAGGAAGGGAAGAGGGGAGTTGCGGAGGGACTGTCATCATCGTGTCGCGGCATTGTTCGTCCCAACGAGGATGCAACAATGATATATTGATATATGATATATAACAATGATATATATGGGGGAGGGGGCAGGGGGGCCCTTTCGCGGGAAAAATCACGTGATGTCCTTGGGGAGCCCCGGAATACGTGCTAAAGCAAGAAGACTCTAGCGAGCTGACGCTAGCTGTCGTGATAATGACAATAATTGCCAATAATGATAAAATGTAATTGAATAACGATGATGATGATGATGATGATGATGATGATGATGGATGATGGATGATGAATGATGAATGATGAATGATGAATGATGAATGATGAATGATGAATGATGAATGATGAATGATGAATGATGAATGATGAATGATGAATGATGAATGATGAATGATGAATGATGAATGATGAATGATGATGATGATGATGATGATGATGATGATGATGATGACGAGGACGCGGACGAGGAGGAGGACGATGGAGAGGACGATGACGATGATGATGACGATGATGATGACGATGATGATAGATAGATAGATAGATAGATAGATAGATAGATAGATAGATAGATAGATAGATAGATAGATAGATAGATAGATAGATAGATAGATAGATAGATGTGGTTGGCTAGGAAATCCCAAAGCTAAACGAGCAAAAATCGCCAAGTGGCCTACCCTTCAGTCAGTCTGTTTACTCCCCAGATAGATAGATAGTAGATAGATAGATAGATAGATAGATAGATAGATAGATAGATAGATAGATAGATAGATAGATAGATAGATAGATAGATAGATAGATAGATAGATAGATAGATAGATAGATAGATAGATAGATAGATAGATAGATAGATAGATAGATAATGATGATGATGACGAGGATGCTGATGATGATGATGATGATGACGATGATGATGACGATGACGATGACGATGACGAGGACGACGATGATGATGATGATGATGATGATGACGAGGACGCGGACGAGGACGATGGAGAGGACGATGACGATGATGATGACGATGATGATGACGATGATGATGACGATGATGATGACGATGATGATGATGATGATGATGGTGGTGATGGTGGTGGTGGTGGTGGGGGAGGGGGGGGGCCCTTTCGCGTGAAAAATCACGTGATGTCCTTGAGCAGCCCCCCCAATACTTGCTAAAGCAAGAAGACTCCAGCTAGCTGACGCTAGCTTTCGTGATATATATATATATTATGAATATTATGGGCCAATTATGGGGTTTCCTGAAATGGGGGATTTTTCAGTCGTCACCATGGCTTTCAAAAATTGCGGTCATCCAAGCGCTCCCGGCCTGGCTGCCAAGACCAGCGTGACGCTCAAGTCCTCAGCCTGCCGGTCCAGGGCACTCAGCAGCACCAGCACGTCCTGACACGGCGAAGCCGCAACGGTGCGGCAAAGATGAAATCCCTTTAAGGGTCAATGGGAAAAATCCCATATGAATGGGAGAAGAGTTGGTGAAATAGATACCCTCTGGTAAACATACAAAAAGCTATGGAAAATCACCATTTTTAATGGGAAAACTCACTATAAATGGCCATGTTCAATAGCTATGTTAGTTTACCAGAGGGTAGTTATCAATGGGATAAGAGTTGGTGAGATATGTAAGAAACCCATGAAACGAGTGATCAATTGAAGCTGTTCTGTATCTTTTTGTGGGTGAGTATAATATCTTGATCATCCCATCAGATGTTCATTGATATGCATTAATATCAGTACTACAATTGGATGGTTCATGACATTCATTAGTATGGGGATGGTTGACATGATAATACATGATATCTGAGTATATAATGTCATGTTGTGTGTATATATAAGGGCCAAAAAATAGCTATCCACTTAGAGAGCCTTTCTTTTTTGAGAGTTGCCTCCCCCCAATATTTTCGTTTGAATCAAAAATGGCCAACATCCACGATTCCATCAATCTGACATTTTGACAAGCCATTTCTGGCCCATTTCTCTTGATGTAAATCATTCTGAAACCATCCGTTTGTGGGTATCGGATTATCTTGGATTCAATATCTTTGTTTTTCTTGGAACTCACATGGATCGAGAAAATGATTTTCCAACATGATCCAACCATCGTCTCATTTTTTTGTGGGAACTCGGTGGGGTGCATTATGATTGGAGATGAACCGTTTCTAACATTTAGTCCATACCAGAAATTACAAGACCTTTTTGCTTTTGCATACTATGGACTATGGGCAAACTGGATGCTATGGATCATTTAAAGTTTGAACACTCACGGGGAGCTAATATGATGATTCTAGCCAGTTCAAGCACTCAATATCCACATCATGATTGCTCGAGTACAAGATGTTATTGGGAAATGGCAATTGGTACCCGTAATATTCCAAACTATTGTTGCTTGACTTGTTGGTGATATTCTCACTATGGTTGGTCGGTGGCCCCATGTTGGTTGGCTTAGTTCCTTCATTCTGCTTCAGTTTATCCTAAAATACAAATCAACGAAGCAGCCAACAATTACCACACCAACAAATCAACCAATCATAGTTGATCTGGTTCCGTGTTCAACGAGTTTCGATTATATAGTTTCTTTTCATCTTCAGTCTTCCCTAAAGAATTGAGATATTCCCAAATGGGTTCATCAAGAAATATATTATATTGCTTCATCATCATTCTCCCTGTAAAAAAGCCATAACTGGGGATCCCAATTTTCAGTGGACCAGATCTTCATTGCTTAAATCAAGTGTTGAAAAAGTTTAACTTGATATGTTCATGTATTTTCTATGGTAAAACCATGGTAAAACCACCGGGTGGTGTTTCAAACCCACCCACCACCACCACCCACCCGCGCCTGGCAGGGCAGCTGCGCTGCTTTCTCCAGCGCTGCTTCTGCCAGGTCGATCCAATGCTCAGCAGTGAGCGGCTCACCTGCGCGGGGGCCAGCAACAATGGTAACTTTGATTTTTCCCCAAAAAAGTGATGAGAAATATGGTTTACGGTAAAATTAAGTTTACTGAAATGCTACTCAAATCCTGAGCATCTTTGTTTCTATATCTTTTTGGGGGGTTAACGAGGTATTTGTTGGTCAATTCACCCACAAAACACTCATTTGTTTGATGAATTCAATCATCATTGAAATACCTGGGGAAATCCCAATAAAGTCCCATGAACATCATGAACTCCCCATAAAAATCATAAGAATCCCCATGGTTTCCATATGTTTCATGCGTTGACTGCACCCGGCCTTCCATGGCCTTCTCGGCCCATTCTCGTTGCCTTTGGCTCAACGCCAGCTGCGCCCCCAGCAGCACCCCTCGTTGACGCCCAAACGAGGCGCCGCGGCGCAAGGCACAGCGCCACGAGGCACACAGCGCCGTGGGAAATGCCATGGGATGCACAAAAAAGGGGTGGTTGAAGCAACTGGGGGTCTCTTAAAATGGGAGGTCCCAAAGTCACCGTGGGTTTCAAGGTGTCAATACTAAAATGGTCTAATGACTTGGATGATTTCGGGGTACCAAACCACGAAAAAAAACATAGCAAATGGATCCAAATGATGGTTTTTCACCAAACAAAACGATGAGTTTTGAATCTTAACTTAACCATTTCACTTTAACCAACCAAAATGGTGAGTTCCGAAGTTTTCACCTAACCCAATAAGAACAGGGCTTGAACCAAAAAAAGATGGGTGCCTGATTGTTGCGATTTCAGGGAATGCCGTACAGCCTTACAGGCAACCAGTTTTTTTTCCGTCCAAATTTAGGAGTCAGAATTACCCTGAACAAAATCTGGGATCAGACAGGAAGCTCATCATTGTTTTCCCTGTCCATTTTGCAAAACGTAGGCATGTGTCTGAAGTGCAAATGTCACAGGATGGGGTATTTGCTGGATGGAGAGCGACAACCACCATGACATGTTCCATCAGTGGGTGGCCGGGTATGGCCGGGTGGCCATCAGCCCAAGAAATCGAGTCCATCCTTGAGCCTGGGTTGCAAGGAGTTCTCGTTTTTGGGGGGAAACGTTGCTTTTCGAATGAGTTTCCGAGCTTTGGTTTGTTACGTTCATGCTGAAGTGGATACTGAGTACTGTAGAGTATGGAAACGGGAACTTGGGTCAACACGAGGAAAGCATTTGAATCTAAGCAGGTACAGTATTACCATCGGCAAAGTTGAGGAGATGGCCTTGGGTTATGTAACCCAACATCTTCCACATCCCAAAAATGATCTGAATACGATTTAATGGGTTAAACTGTTAAACTCCAAGACCCCCAGAACCTACGGATGTTTGGTGAGGTTTATTCTCAAGAACGGCACTGTTGTTTTTTGATTTGTTCCCATGGTTTTCCTGCATGGTTGGTGTCCTGCACCATCCACTTTTCTGACCAAGGTGCCTCAATGAGGTGTGGGGTCCAGCCACCTTTGCACTGATTTCCCGGCACCTGGCGGGAGCCCTTTTTCAGCTTTGGACTGGGGATTTCTTATGATTTCTTGAGAATGTCATACTGATTATATACATCATGCGGGGAACTGCCTGGTCCCAATCAATGGATAGTCGTAGATACCCTGCATCTGTTCTTTGATTGGTTAGGCTACTTCCCTACCAAACAACAGTTGACCCAGAGTGATAGAAGATGATAGAAGTGTCGACCACAGCCCACGCCTTTCGATAGGCTGTTGCACCATACCTGGGAGATACTGGCAATTCAAAAATTGCATAAAAATGCAATAATCACTTGCTATAACCTTGATCCCAGGATGTCTGCATATTGATGCAACTCAAAATCGTGGTACCAGAAAAAGTGGATAGCAAGTTGTTTCAAGATGTCAAACAGGTCCACAGCCATACCATCCCATGACCCGAATTGTTGGCCCAATTTGGCCAAGGTGCGTTCCTTGACAGACCGCTGGGGCGAACCTGGCCCCAAAAAAATGCATTCTGTGAAGGGTTGCAGAGTCCCTGTAGGTTGCAGATATATCTTGGTCACTATCACCATGGAACCCCTGGTGGTGCCCTGGAAATTGATGCTCCCTTCGGTGATGACCATGTTTCTTCCATGTAATGGAGACGAGCTGGCTGCTGCTCAGGCCAAGCCTTTTTGGCTGGGATACAGCTCTCGGCAAGGGCCCTGCTCCGTCTTTGCGTCTGCCCAAAAAGCCCTGCGTCTTTGGCAAGGTCCCACTTAAGAAGCTGGTGGATTCTGCCTACGTGGCGGCAAACAAATGATGCGCACACACAACCACCTGGTATTTTACGCTGGAGACGCCAGTGCGCCGGAAGTTTAGGGAGGTGGCGAGGTGCTGCAGTAGCGATGGATGGATTAAAGAAGTATATCTGAAACCACCAACCAGACAAGCTCAGCTCTGGACCGAGTGCCGCCAAGCACCCATCGTATGTACAGTTTGCTAGCTACTACTTGCACGCCCATACAAACTCTCATACAAATTCCACACTCTGCAAAGACAATCTCTAGCAGGGCGAATTCAGTGGTAGCTAGAAATTGATATGCGTTTGCTGGAACGCCGTCGCAGCCACATGTTCATCGGTTCCATGCTGGAAAGGATGAACAACAGCCACTTTGCGCTATGTTTCCAGCCCTTCCAGCCCCTTCTCAACCACCGTCACTGCCACTGCGTTTCACCTGCCGCGCCACGCTGGCGATGATGGCGCCGCTGTCCAGCCAGTGGCGCTCCGCGAAGAGGCCACCGTGCTGCCGCTGGGTCGGCCGCTCGTCCTTGGCCTGGGACCGTTGATGGTAGGGGGGTAGGGCCCAAGATCCCAGTCTTCAAAACTTCAACAGGTTGATAAATGCTTATAAAATCTTATAAATGCTATATTCATGTTGTATACTAATCAAATGTCATACAATTTTATCGGCAGCTATTTGATGTTATTTGCACTTGTGACCCCATGTTATAGGTGGAAGGGGCCAATCGTTGAAGGTTCAAGTGATGCAAAGTAAGTGGTGACACCGGCACCTACTCAGAGCGCTGGAGCCGCTGCTGCCCTCAAATTTCATACCATCTGGCGAATGATTAGGTCGAATCCCGGCTATGTCACCACAATGATCCAACCAAATGGGTTCCTGATGTCCGGGTAGAGATGAACTCAGTTCCACTTCTGACTTCTTGGCCTTCTGAAAGTGTCTGATATGCAAATTGATGAACCATTATAATAAGTCAGAAGTCATAATAAGTCTACTGTTATCTCCATTTAACTTCATGAACTTAGTTAACTTCTGTTTTACTTAAGGTTTTCTTGCCCAAAAAAATCCAGGGAAAACCTTGGACCCAGCCACTGCCGTGGTCTTCCCCGCCGCCCGCAGCCGCTCCGCCGCCACCATCGCGGCCGCGGCCACCGTCAGGGAGTGGCGGCGCGGCTTGGGCTCGGCAGCTAGGGAGGTGGTGGCGGCGCCGGCGGCTCCTGGGGAGACAGGGCGCTACGGATTTCTGGTGAAGTTGTAGATTGAAGAATGGTGGATTTCATCATGGAAAATGGTGATTTAACCATGAAGAATGATGAAATCTGTGGATGTAGCCAAGGAAAAATGTGGGATTTAAGCGCATGAAAAATAAGAGTTGAACCAACTATTGGGATAAACCATAGGGGGATGTTTAAGCATCGAAAATTGATGGGAGTTATGCATCAAAATGTATGGTGATCCGACAAGCAAAATGATGAGGAATCTTCCATGGGTTTAACAATGGGGTTCTTGGTGTTTAACAATGGGAATGGGATGCTTGGAAAGGTACCCCACTGCCACGAGGATTGATTTTTCAGGGATTCCAAGCTCTATGGGGACAAAATCAGATTTATTGTGGTGATTTCTGATGGGTACCTTTTCTGATTGGATCCATGATGCCATGGCTAGGGGGTTGGACCAAAACCCTGTTGAGATGAAAGGAAAATCGGAAACATCTAAACATGATGGTGAAAACATGCAAACCATGGAGGTTCAGTAAAGAAACCAGTGTGCCAATCATGTTTGGGTGCAGCACCACCAAATGTACCTAGATTTCTGAACGACTTGATGTTCTCAAAGCTCAGAAGCCCCCCAAAAAAAATATATATTAGACATTGCCATTTTGGGGTCTTCTACCTTGGATTTCAGGTGTACACAACCGGGTGGCGTCAAGGAAAACCCTCACAATAAACACGATCAGTTTTACGATGGTTTCACCATAGTAGTTGAGGTTGTCTGAACCCCCCGTTAGAGTCTTCATCAACCAATCCCCTTGGTGCCCCTATCCCTCACCAAGTCACTCGGGCATGTGCCGGCCTCACCGGCACCTGACAGGCAGGAAGCTATCCCTTGGGGATGGTTTTATGTTGGGGGTCTTTTAACCCTTTACCTTTTGGTGAACACTAAAATGAATAGCTGGTCAACGGATTCATTAATAATTCATTGATAATGGATTGATGTTTATCCCCCTGGGTATGATAGTTGTAGATTGGCTATTGACCCATCGCCACTTCTTCGACATGGGACATGCCGGACATGCAACGACGCGTCCCGAAGTGGAACGGATGTCCTTCTTCGGTACTATGGTCACTAGGCATGATTTTGTACTTCCACGACAGGTTTGAACTTTACTTTTTGGTGGCTAAATAGTGTCTGATCTCTCCCAAACCGGAAATTTCGGAAATCTAAGAATCATCTACAGCCCAATGCAACATAAAACCAATTTACCAAATTTGGTGGCACATGGTGGCAATATACACCCTCGACTTTCAAGCAATTTGAACCTCAAAATCTTCCAATGGATGATCATCATTTTCCCCAAGCCATTTTCAATGGATATACCCTCTGGTAAACTAACATAACTATGGAAAATCACCATTTTCAATGGGTAATTCCACTAGAAATGGACCATGTTCAATAGCTATTTTGACATAACCAGAGGGTACCCTGAAGGGCATATCCATAGGCCATCGAAACATTCGCCCCATATGATCAGCAACCATCGAACATGAAGGGTTATCCCATCATGAACCACTAAAAAAAAACATCATTGACCATAGTGACTATGATAATATGGCAGTGTGTCAAAACCTTGTACCCCTGGTGAACATCAAAATAGCTGGTAAATGGATGTTCATCCCCCTAAAAATGGTATGTATAGGTATTGATCCATACCCATATGGCTAACCATTAATGATGGTTTTTGTTTGAACATTGCTATTAACAACTATTAACCATCATTATCCCAGCCAGCAACAGATTTGGGATAATAATACAGTAGTGGTTAATCATTGAGTTAATAACGATGGTTAGTAACCATACTATCCCTAGGTGAAGTAGATCAACTATCATGTTTTGCTTTTTTTGTTTTGTTTTGTTTTTTGTTTTGTTTTTGCATTTTCAAAATTGTTGTTTGTTTTTTTTGCTTTTTTCTAATTGAGGTTTGGATTGGGTTTCGCTTTTTTTTTGGATTGGTTTTCGCTTTTTTGTTTTTTTCTTATTCCTTAGAAATAAGCTGAAGGCATTTCACAACATTAACCACTAAAAAAAAAACTTCACTAACCAGTACGAATCATCGTTCTCCTAGATGTTCACTAACCATATCATAGCAACCATATCATTATTCACTATTCATCACAAACCATATCATCAACCACTATGAATAAAAAAACATCACTAACCACTATATCATATCATTAACCACTATCACAAACCACTATCATTATATACTGGTTGGTGGTTTCAACCCCTCTGAACAATATATATTAGTCAATTGGGGTTACTAAGCTCCCAATATATGGAAAAATAATCCAAATGTTTGAAACCACCAACCAGATATACACACCATATTTTCACCATATATTCACCATAAATGTCCATAAATAATGTCATATATTCACCATATTTTCTGGTGGGCTTGGCACCTCCAGAGGTGCCACCTTGCCGACGGGGCTGTCGGCTCAAAGGCTCCTCCAACTGCTCCGCGTACGGCAAGTCCGTGCCGCCGTGTTGGACCCAGGGGCCTCGCTGGCAACAAGATGAAATCAGGGGATTGTGGATGATTACTACGAAATATGTTCTGGATTATTATGGAATGTCATGTATGGATGATTGTGGATCATTGTGGATTATTATTGTGGATTATTTATGGATTATTATGGATGATTATGGATGATTATGGATTGTTATGGATAATTAAAGGTCATTGTAGGTTATTATGGATTATGGATGGTTGTGGATGATTAAGGATTATTACGGATTGGTTGAAGGGAAAAATTGCAGGAAACCATGGATTTCCCCACCAATACATAGGTATGTTTCCTGTAAAAAAATAATAATATGTAAACCAATCCAACGAAGGAACACTTGGTTTAGCTCTGAATTTGGAATCCTAGGTGAATTATAAGTCACATGGAACAAGGCCCGTTTTGGATGAATCGCCTGAAAAATTGTGATTTCCCATAGCAGCACAAAATTGCCCGAGATTATTACATATGCTCCACACACATATTTCATCATCATCTCAAGATATGTCAGTTATCAATGACTGTGACCCACTGATAGCAAAGCCTACCAACCATCACCCATGGTTTCGCTGCCACCGCAAATATCCAGAGCCTTGTTTGTCGATCCCTAAGAGTTCTCAATTTGTCGTGGGATACATGGTAAACCAGGTATTATATAGGCCAACCAAAGAAAACAAATCTAGCTCTCCACGGATTTGTTTGCTCTGCGTAAAGTGCGAGGAAACCATTGATGTTGCCATCAGATAATTGCGCCGAAAAGATCATGATACCCCTTTTAAAAGACTTATGTCAAAAAAGACTTGGGTACTTCCCATGTTCAATCACACCCATATCACTACTTGGATGTTGCCAACAATAATCGCGATGCGTGGTTAGTCACCGCAGTTGCAAAGGGTTGTAACAACTTAGCTACTTCTGACCACTTAGTTCAACCTCAAGACCCCTTAGTGGTTACCCTCTGGTAAACTAACATAACTATGAGAAATCACCATTTTTGATGGGTAAATCCACTATAAATGGCCATTTTCCATAGTTATGTTAAATTACCAGAGGGTACAACCCCTTGTCACCAGTTTCATGTTGCAAGGCGTTCATCACCCGCTGGTACTGGCGCCTCGTGCTGCACCACGACCCTTCAGCGCTTCTTCCTCCGCGTCCTCGAAGTCCCAAGGGGGCCTCAACCAGTGGAAGGGATGGCCGATACCCTCCAGCCTGTGAAATATGAATAATGGTAATGGTAGTAATAGTAAAATAAATAGCAGTAAGACAATAACCGTAATAGTAGTAGTAATAGAAACAGTAATAGCAGTAATTATAGCAATAGAAAAACAAAAGTAAAAGTAATAGTAGTTTCTAATCGTCGAAGTAACAGTAGTGATGGTAATAGTAGTAATTAATAGTAATGATATTAGTACTAGTAATCGTAATCGTAATGGTAAAAAGTAATAAACAATAGTAATAGAAATTGTAATAGTAATAGTAATAATATATTATAGTAATAGTAGTTTCTAATCATAGCAATAGTGATGATAGCAATTGCAATGATAGTAACAGGAATCAAAATGATCCACAATTGAAAACAGCAAGTTGCCGGTTGCTGAAACGATTTTACTTCAAGATAATGTTTGGGCATAGATTTATGGCCAGTATTTGGCATGTCTTAGCTCTGTTTGAATAAGATTTCAGCCAATTGGAATATCCAGTTGGACAACATTCAATAAGCATATTGCAGGCATACACTGACACATACTGTAGACATCTATGTGTACATGGACACTCTCAGGTACAGAATCTACAGTTTTTTTGGATACACTCTCAGTCATGCATCATTTTGACGTAAACTGAGGCAATGTCTCCCCATCTTTTGAGCCATTTTGGGCTGCACCAAGCAATCTCATTGCTTCAAAATAAACCATCTCAGAAAATAAAATGAACACTCTTGAACACCCCAAAAATGTTGCAAAAAAAACAAGGTCGAAACCAAGTAGTCCTCCTGCGCTTTAATTGCACCTGGTAATCCTGTAGTGATATGACTTTATATGAACTGTTATTGTCATTATATTACATTGTGTTACATTATATTGCAATATGGTTATATCATATACTATGTTGTACGATATAATACTATATCATGCTATCTTATACCATAGTATACTACATATATATATATTGTATGATATCATATCAACTCATATCAAATCATGCTATATGATTTAATACAACACAATATCTATATATTATATGATATCATATGTTATAACATCTAACCGAATAAAATAATAAAATATGATATGTTATAATATCATATCATATAACATAATATCATATAGTACGATATCACATAGTAAAATATCATATAGTATCATATAATATAATATAGTATAAATATAATATCATATAATGCCATATAATATACGGATTATATATTATATATAATATAATATAATATAATATAATATAATATAATATAATAATATAGTATATAACACAATATGCAATATCATATATGATATTATATATGTATATAACTCTAAAATAAAATATATGGTATATCAATGTATATCATATTTCATTGGGTTACATCAAATCAGATCATGTTGTATCCTCCACCGCGCCTCCGCCGCGGCGCGGCTGCTTTGGTGCCTTCGCGCAAGCGCATGGCTTGTTGTGGCTGCCTCTCCTCCCGTGGAGCGGTCCCAGGGTCCCAGGGTCCCATCTACCGGTGATTCAATGGTGATTGCTGTTGCGTTAGTTACCCCTCTGGTAATTCAACATAGCATTTGAAAATGGCCCTTCATATACATATAAGAGAGAGAGTTCATTTACTTACAGTAGTAACACTAAGTTATTTTTCCTGGCTATGTTGAATTACCAGGAGGATTCATAATCTTAAAAAAGAAACAGACCGCATAGCATATATAATCATATATATACATACATATATATATATATTGTGTAATCCCATATAATGACCAGTCATGAATGGCTCAAATTTCAACGGTTACTGTAGTAATGCACCATCTGATTAGTGGAACCCCCAAAAAGATAGAAGTTGGTCAATCCGATTCTAAAATATAGTGGTAAAGTATTTGTTCAATCTTTTCGGGGGGTTACTAGACATGACAAATTCTTATAGTCATTATCCACTACAAGTAGAGATTCATGGTCTAAGAGTAGCTTTGTATCGCAGATGATCACTATGGAATCCATTCACTTGTTATAATCCCTTCTAACCCATAGGATCCATGTATGGTGTATATGCTAACATTTGGGGTATATTGATGGTAAATGTTACCATATATAGCATACATGGATCCTATGGGTAATGGGAAGTATCCTCTTATACTTATCATAGTTATATTAGTTATATTCCACTTTCAAATACTGCCAACTACATGGATGAAAGGTATCATCCAGCTACTGATGCCCCATGGTTATTTGAGTTGGTTTACAATTCCAATAACTAGGCTCCATGGTAAATATCTCGAACTACTATGGCATACTATGGCTTGTAAACCAACTTATAACTGCGGGGGGGCACCACGTTTCACCTAATGATACATTCAAATAGAGCTTACCCTCTGGTGAACTAACATAGCAATGGAAAATCACCATTTTTGATGGGAAAATCCACTATAAATGGCCATTTTCCATTGCTATGTTAGTTCACCAGAGGGTAATCATAAGCATCATAACCCCCAGCTCCTCTTCGTGCCAAGCACGAGCCGCAACAGCTCGGGACACCAAGCGCCATTGCCTTGAGTTCAAGGCTTCCGTTGGGCTAGCCATGGCAAAAACCATGGGAAAACCCACCTTGTTTGCGGGGAAACCCATGGGAAAACCATGGGAAACTGAGTGAAAAACCGTGAGAAATGGTAATTTCATAGGAAAATCAACTATTATATGTTAAAGACATGTAAAAACCATGGGATTGAACCATCAAAATGGTGGACTACACAATTTTAACCCTGGGATTATTGATCTATAAGAAAGTATTGCAGTTAACCAAACATGGGGATACATATATAGGAGATATACAAGCAACTTCATATAAAAAAAATTGCGTTTGTCCAGCAATGGGAAATGGAAAATGATGATTGAGCAGTGGATGGAATGGTTTGTCCCCCATTTTCAGACACCTCTTCCAGGGTTGAAAACACGCAAATTCTGGATATCTTCTGAAGTTGCTAGGGGAAATCACTGCGAAAATAGACGTGGACAGTGAACTTGTAAATTCTAGATTCAGTTGACTTCGACTTTTACCAGATCTTTTCAGACCGCCTTCGCCTCTGCTTGGGTGAGGTGCATCCTATATACGTGGGAAACTAGTTTTGAGCTAGCTATCCTCACCCATGGCAAACAAGCAAAGTAGTAAACTATCCATCTAGTCGATGTAAGAAAACAACATACTAACAATAATATACAAGAAATAGTAACAATGATCATCATATCCATCTTTTTTAATGACTGTTGTTCCTATTGTTACTATGACAACTCAACTTCCGTCAGCTGCCACCGAGTCTCAGCAGTGCCCCATCGTCACCACCCAGCGTCAAAAGCGCTGCTGCCGTGGTCGGATCTGCGCCCGGCAACGTCGCCATGCACGAGACGAAGCCCCCGTGTCCATCGTAGCGATGGAAGCCTCCCATGTCGCATTGATGGGATGAAACGTCACGAGAATCACAAAGGGCCTTATCAGAAAAAATTAGGGGGTATATTAGAGTGTGTGCATATATATCTATACATACACAGGTTGGGATTAAAATGTGATATACTTATGTGTACATATATATATATCGATCATTTTCGATATGTATATATATATATTATGTTTCTGTGTGTGTGCGTGTATGCATGACCTGATATGCCAAACGATGTGAACATACCATCCATCCAGTGTATAAATCGACAAAAATATGGAAAGCCCATTGTTTCTCTATCTATCTAACTATCTATGCTATCTATCTATCTATCTGTCTATCTATCTATCTATCTGTCTGTCTATCTATCTATCTATTTTTCTATCTATCTATCTATCTATCTGTCTGTCTGTCTGTCTGTCTGTCTGTCTATCTATCTATCTATCTATCTATCTATTTATCATCTATCTATCTATTTATCATCTATCTATCTATCTATCTATCTATCTATCTATCTACCTACCTTCTATCTATCTATACGATATATATATATACATATATATATATACGACGTATGCATATATATATATATATGTGTGTGTACATGAATTAGCTGGAGGCTATATGGGATATCGGTCTTAGTAAAACGACCATTCCGTGTGGGGCCCCCATCATTTGCACCCCACACCTTGCTTTCCCGACAACGACGGAAAGTGGAAGAGCGTTATCTGGTGCGAAACATCACCGGCCGCCAGAAGGGCTTCACCTGGTGGCAGTGGCTTCACAGGGACCATCCCTTGAGCGCTATGGTTCAATAATGTCCTTTTGATAAAAATAGAGGGGCCGGTTTGGTATACCATCTATCATCATTTACCTGTTGTTAAAGGGGTTTCTTCAACCCCCTCTATTAATCAACCAACCAATTGGAAAAGGACATCCATGCTATGGTTAGCTGGGTTATAATATGGGGGGTTCTTCAAATGTGAGTACCCCAAAATAGATGGTTTATGATGGTAAAGCCTATTAAAATGGATGATTTGGGGGTACCCCCATTTTAGGAAACACCCATATGCTTAATCACCTAGGTGGTAGTGACCCAATGACAACCCATCCCAGATCGGTATACCCAAGAATAAACACAAATAGGAAATGGTTTATCCTTTGGTTAACCACATTCAGGGGACCCGGTCACGGTCACCAACCGTTTTGCGAATTCCAAGAATCATCAAGAATCATCCAGGTGATCTTAGCCACTTAAGGTTGGACCTTTCGGCCCCACTCTCCCAACCCCAAACTGAGATTTTTTCAGAAGCCGTCCAGGGGCCGTCCGCGAAAAGAACTGAGAGATGTGGCTCCTGGATCCCGACCTTCGAAAATCTCTTGGCATCCCATCATTTCCCCAGGGCCCATCAAAGTCATGTGGTGAACCCAAGGTTTTTTTGAAGCGTCCCAAGCCATTAGCATTTTGGAAATGGGTGGCTTTACCACCTCATTCCCACATTTTTTTTGTTGATGGCATTGGGGTAAACCCACATTTATCACAATTTCCCTAAGTAAAATTGACGGTTCCTCACATCTTCCCTCCAGGCATTGGTGGAGTTTCCACGCCTGTCACCGCGTGAAAGGCTCGACAGCACTTGATCCCTGAGATGCCGAAGTGACGCTGGGCCGCCCACATGCCCATCCTGAGCCGATGCGAGCAGTAAACAACGGGATAGTAACACTAATTCCTACAAGTAACAATGAATAGTAATCATAGGAACAATAAATAGTAACAATATTCCATCAAGGGAAAATCCACAGGACCCCTGTCTGTGGATGGGTCAATGATTGCCACCACAGATTGACAGGTTACCAGGTTTAGTAACCGTCGAAGTATTGGGATACCCAATGACTTGACCTATACACAAATGGTTTTAACATGTTACATGTAAAATTCCATGAAATATGATGGTTAGATATGGGGTATGCCGGTATGCCTGTAAATGTATGCAAATGTTCCCTCAAACCAATCCAATGACAAATGGCTCAAACCCGAGATGTGTCTCAAAGAGAAGAGCAAGGTGAGACAAGAACAAGCCAATCGAAATGGGAAGCTCAGACTTTCTTGCCCACCACAAATGGATGGTGATGTGCTCTCGCTGATATTCGCTGATCAAATGTGAAAAAATTAAGCTTTGAGAAGTTGCTGGGCAAGTGCCAACAATTCACAAATCTGAAATACACCGTTTTCGCGATGATTCTCCCAATCCTGACCATCACTCACAGTGAGGTCGCTCAGTGAGGCCGGATAGGTCAAATAATCTGTATGTGTATGTATATATATATTGTAATATGTGTATGTATATATCTATGACATCTATGATACTAATAGTAATAATACTAGTAACAATAATAGTAGTGATAATAACAAAAATAACAATAAATAGTAAGAATAGTGATAATAATTCATAAAAAGGATCATGGCAATGATAACAGTAATCATAAGAATAGTAACAATGGTAACAATAGTAGTAATAAGTAATAACGATACATATACAATCATATTAAATCATATTACATATATATATATATATGTCAAAATAACATATATAAATCTGCAATGCCCAATAGTTTGATGATTGTTATCATTGCGGCTATTATGTGTTGATAATCATGAAATGGTGTTGTTGTTCATCATTCACGGTTGATAATCCCAAAAGAATAATCGTTTATATTACTTGCAATATATATTATGATTCTCAACTCAACTAATATTATGATGATTGTCATTATCGCTATTCACATCATAACTATGGCTAATAACTATCGAAGATATAACTATTGAAAAACCTACTATCGCTATATCCAATATTAAACTAGTGCTATTATCAACTGTAAAATATCAGGTATTGATTATATATGAACTATTAAACTGTTGATAGCATCTATTAACTGCAAACCATTTAACAATTAACATCTGTAGTTAACATCTATTAACTATTAACATCTGCAGTTCTTATAACCATTGATAGTATTAACTATATAATTGATATATTATATATACCCTCTGGCAATTTAACATAACTATGGGAAATCACAATTTTTAATGGGAAAATCCACTATAAATGGCCATTTTCAATAGCTATATATATATATAATTATATATATACTATAAGAACTTGGGCCATCTGCCCCACGACCTCGGCAAGTCACGTGTGCCAGGCCATTGGACAGCTCCAGTCCTTCCAGCTGCAGTTCTTCACCGTTTCCTGCGTCACGCGCTCGCCGCTCAGCACGTTGAAGTACAGCACCTGCCATGGACATCATCCAGGGGATCATCCACTGGGAACCCCATCTTTTTCATCAACCAACTGGGGTTGGTTTAGCAGACACTGCTCTGCAAAAAGCTTGTGGAAACAAAAAAAAAACATTCAGGCCTGGCCATCTTTGGAGTTGGTCATCAAATATGTTCCCTCGGCGCTGCACTGCATGTGGGTCACCGAACTGGTGTTGCCTGGCGCCGTCATGACTGTCACCAATTTGCAGCAATGGGTTGTACCAATGACTTGTCATGAACCAGTAAACCATCCCCAAGTGGAGGTTTGTTGGGGTCGTTTTCCGGGCTGCACCGTCATCTTTGTCCTAGGCTCCCATGCCTTACAAAGATATAGAAAGCCACCCCATGGACTATCTGGTGTCAACCCATCCCATCCCAAAATCTGGGAGGCCCAGCTCTTTAAGCATCCCTTAAATCCTGTGTCAATATGGCAGTGGGTCAAAACCTTGTACCCCTGGTGAACATCAAAATAGCTGGTAAATGGATGTTCATCCCCCTAAAAATGGTATGTATAGGTATTGATCCATAGCCATATCCCATCTGGGTGTCTTGACCATCAGGGGTCCAGACTCCGCTACGCCGCTACGCCCTCGCCTTTCAGAAGTCTCAGTGGCGACTTGGAACTACTAGAGCTGCTGAAGATGTAGACCGTCTGATCCCAACTGCCAACCGCCAGCATGTCGTCCTGCCAGGTGGGTTTTTCCAATCAACTGCTTAACTGGGCTACTCTACAGTACTTAAAGGGGTCCGTAAGTTTCAGGCATACCGACCAGCATACCCATTTTCATTCCCACTGCCTGTTTTTGAATTGCGGACACACCAGTGCCATGGACACATGGCCGTTTGCTTTCTCTAAACCTCTCCATCCCACCATTCACCCCTTCCTACCCCTCCCAATGTGTATCCCAGCATGGTTAGTCTGAGATAGTCTGAGGCAACCGGGGTATCCGATAAACATGAAGCAAGGGATTTCATCAGATTAAATAAGCAGTGAGTTAAGCCAGTTTCAGCCAGAAGTCGCTCAGCCAGAAGTCGCTCCATTTTAACATCTGTGATTCTTGGATTTGCTCAAGGAACCCCAAAAAAACTATAGATTCCATAGTCACTAGTCACTAGTCACTAGTCGTAGTGGATTTCCCACTGTAAACATCGAACTCAAAAAAATCCTCCGCAAAACATCAGAATTCCCCAAGATCCATCCCATCCATTCCCATCCCATAGCCGCCATAGCCATAGCCATCCCCCGGGTCCAAGAAACACAGCGCCGCCAGGCGCTCCGCCCCTGCCCAGCGCCGGCCGCCCGGCACCGGCTTCAGGGCGGGGAAGGAGAGCAGCTGCAGCTGGCCATCGCCGAAGCCACAGGCCAAGAGGCGCCCGGAGGAATGGAAGGCTAAGGAAAAGATGCCCCTCAGTTGGGAAAACTTTGATTTGAGATCATTGAAATATGTTATGATTCAGTTATGATAGTCAATGTTGGAAATGTAGGGCTTATCCAATGAGATCAATGAGGAAACTGGCATTCGGGGTTTGCTGCTTGATCTTGCCTGAATGAATTGGCTGTGGTTAGACCTTGGGTAATATCCCAACATATCTGAGCTAGTCGGGGTTATAAGCTGCTTTTTTGGAGCAGGTTGAATCATCGACCTCCATTCGCCAACGGACAGAAAAATCCCTATGATAGGTATGATAGGTATCCTATGGTTCATGCAAGGTCCCCGGCCATCCTGCCCCCTAAAAACCAGTGATCTACGTCGAGGCGCGACTGATCCTCCTCAAACTTCAAGACGCGACCCACCTCAACGGTTCCAACATCTTCAGTCTTCCAGTGACCCAACCAGGTACCTCCAATTTGGTTTCTTTCAAGTGCTCAGAATTTTTAGTTCTTCGGCATTAAAACCATTTACCCTCCGGTAAACTAACATAGCTATGGAAAACGGCCATTTATAGATGGTTTACCGATTAAAAATGGTGATTTTCTACAGCTATGTTAAATTACCAGAGGGTAAAATGAGGGCCCAAGATGGTCATTGAAATGGTTTGAACACATGCTGGTAACGATAATGATCAGATCGCTGAAGGCTGCACCATTGCTCGACATTCTTGCAATTGTGCTCATCTTACGTTACAAGGAATTGTGATGCCCCTGGCATGTCTTGTTGAGCTGTTGGTGCTTTCACATGATCTTATTCATGGCGCTGAAAGTGTAAATAATGAACATAGTCTACAATAAAATCATATCGTGTCATGTTCAAGGCCTATTTCATTCTTCTATATATCACAATTTTGCCGTTGCCGGCCACTGGCAATACCGAGTTGCCACTGGCTGATGTTCATTGACATCCCAGAATCGAATCGTCGCCTCGGAGCACGACAAACGCAGCCTTCTTCCATTGGGTCGGTTTCAGCAAACATCCACAGTAAACAATGGTCTTAACCACTGAATGTAAGGGAGTCACTGTCAATCTTTCCTTCATCTAATTCTGGGATGCTGGTTTGTCTTGCTTCCGACAATATTGGTGCTGCATCGGTGGACACCTGTCCATATTTATGCCATTCTGAGCAACTTCAACGTCCAAAATCCCCATTACGCCATTTATGCAATGGCTCGTTTTCATATTGATACCAGTCATCACATATAACTAGGGCCTTCCAGGCTTATTGTGGTATAGCCTATAGTAATCCCCATAATATCATTAAGCAGTGCCACCCCTACAACAATCATCAACAATCTGCGAACCAAAGTATTTTGGGCAGTGTCCATCTGAACCATCAACCAATGGTTGGGAAGGCTGGGTAACTACTCAGCTGAGCAATGTCATTTCATTACACTGGTCACTGGTGATTCCCATGGTGGACACAAAAGAAAAGAAAATATATTGGTCTCATACAACCCCATAACATAAATAAGCATAACGTGTAACCCCTATTTTAACCATTGGATTATAACATATTATAACCCCCGTAACATAACTTATGAAACCTCCAAATTGTAACCATTCAACCAGGGGGTTCACCGGCCACTCCTCAGCCGTCTCCTCATAACCGGTCCGTCCATCACCGCCGAGCTTCGTCTTGCGCGCCAGCAGTGGCCAAGAGTTTCATCTGAGGCTCCTGGCGAGGGTAGCCATCAGATGCATGATGAGTAGCCGAGTAGCCATGGATTCCCTATCGATGTAAAAATATACAGTAAAAAAATTCCCCATGGAATCTGAATATAAATAGGCCAGGCCTTTTTGAGGGGTTGTTTTAGTGAGGAAAGGTCATGAAACCTACCTCCAGTTTTCACTCGAACCATGATATCCCCAATGTGCAACAAGACAAGCAACCCTGTATCAATGCTCAAGTAAATACCAAGATCAATTCCCAATCACGTTGGATATACCCCAAATGTGAAGGAAACATACTTATATATATATACATATGTTATATATGTACATATCAAAATCAAATCATTGAATCCCCATCATGTCCCCATTGCATTTTCATTCTATCCATTTCTATCCCCAGAAAAAAAATGATACATTCTATGGGGATATGACTCGGGGATATCGAACTCTAAGTTCATGGGGATATATTCCCATGTTTTCCCCATCATCTATAATCTCAATATACTCATATATCTATATCTACGTATAATATTGTGTATATATATATATGGGGATAATCATGATAGATAATCGTGTTTCTATATCTTTACATAAATATATATTATATATATGTGCAGTAAGCATCTCTATCCATCCGGATAACACATAGTGTTTCACGAAACTGAAATAAGGCCTTGTTCTTTCGCTGACCCGTGACAGGCTTCGTCAGTTCCCCAAAGTGCAACATGCGCAACCCACAAAACAGGGCACCTGCCAATGACCCGGCGAAAAGATACAAAAAACACCTACATCAACACATGACATGAAATAGCTACACTACACTCTTTGATTCCTAAGGAGTTCAGTCGGACTGGTGAGCACTTTCCGGTTGGCCGGTGGGCAAACATCAACCGTCGGGGATCTAATCCTGCCTTAATAATCATTCCAATGATGTCGCGTGAGCTCGTCTCAGTATATCCAAATATGTGTATGTATTTATATATATATCATATATTTGTTTAAAAAATAAGAATACATATATATATATATATAGTTGTGTGTGTGTAGATATACGGATCTGCAAATTTGTATATATGATGTTTTATATATATATGTAGAACTGTATACACGTCTATCCCAAAATATCCCCGATGAAGCATCGCATATCTTGCCCCCAAGCTGTCCGGATGCACTGCCATGGCAGTCACTGCTCCCGTGTGCGACAGCTGCAGCAGCTGCTTGACCCTGTGACCGTGGGAGCTCATGGGCAAGATCAGCTATCAAAAATGGTGAAAATTGAGAGTTAACCATTTAAAATGGGGAGAGAATGGGGATGTCATGGGGAGATCATGGAGAATATGAATATATATATATATATAATCTTATCTTATATTGTTTTATAAGTATATTTATAGTTATACTTAAAATTATAAATATAATTATTAGTATAATTATCATTATAGTTTTTATTGCATTATATTATATTGTATTATACTGTATTATATTTTAACTATGATTATACTTATTATTATATTAAACTATAATACAATATGTATATATTATTGTTTATATATTTTGTATATTATAGATATTGTATATATTATTTATATTAAATTATATATATATATTATAAATATTCTATATATATATATTATACTATATATTATATTATATATAGTATTTTATATTATATATAGTATGTTATATATATAGTATATCATATATAGTATATGATATATAGTATATGATATATAGTATATTATAAATATAGTATATTATAAATATAGTATATTATAAATATAGTATATTATATATACGTATATATATATTATTATGGTTATTATTATATGTTATATATTATGAAATGTGTTATATATATATATACATGTGTGTGTTTACCGTTTAGAATGGGGACCGTTATGAACGAATGGGGAAATCATAGAAAATATATGTATATGTAAACATGTAACATATACATATGGATATGTATAACCAAAAATATCATCGACATTGCATTTTAAGTTTAGTATCATGGGAAAGCTTTGAAATCCAATGCTTGGCAATATTTTAATTATATTTCAAAAAAAAGGAAGCTAATCGATTTTGAAAAAGAAAAATTAATATTACGGGAAACTTCTCACCCCATTACAAAATGCCTCCTACAATAACAATAATTACTTTACTTCGTGTGATCCCCTGCATGAAATTTATACACTTCGTTGCTGGCAAATCTTCTGGTGTTCTATCTGACATATCTTCTGGTATTTTATCTGGCATTCTATCTGGCATATCTTCTGGCATTCTACCTGGCATATCTTCTGGCATATGTTCTGGCATATCTTCTGGCATTCTATCTGGCATTCTATCTGGCATATCTTCTGGCATATTATCTGGTAAATGTTCTGGCATATGTTCTGGCATATCTTTTGGCATTCTATCTGGCATCCTATCTGGCATATTATCTGGCATTCTATCTGGCATACCTTCTGGCATTCTATCTGGCATATCTTCTGGCATTCTATCTGGCATATCTTCTGGCATTTTATCTGGCATATCTTCTGGCATTCTATCTGACATTCTATCTGGCATTCTATCTGGCATATCTGCTGGCATTCTATCTGGCCGTTGAAGTCCAGCGGTGCCCACTGAGCTCGGAAGGTCCCAGGTTGAGGTCCAGCGCTGCCCACTGGGCTCGGAAGGTCCCTGGTTGAGGTCCAGCGGTGCCCACTGCGCTCGGAACCTGGCGGTTGAGGTCCAGCCGTGCGCACTCAGATCGGAAGCCGGCAGTTGAGGTCCAGCAGTGCCCACTGTGCGCGGAAGTTGGCGAAGAGATTGGCGAAGAGCTTGGCGAAGAGTTGGCAAGGCGGAAGTTGGCGAAGAGATTGGCGACGAGTTGGTAAGGCGGAAGTGGACGTGGAAGTTGATGCAGACATGGTCGAGGAGAAACTGGAGGAGGAGGAAGAGGAGGAGGCGGAGGAGGAGGAGGATGAGGAGAACAGCTCTGATAAAAAATCTAACAACCCTCACCTGGCAGGTGAAAAACTATAGGTTTTATTATTTGGCGGTGACGGGGTGATGGGGGGGAGGTTTTGTATTTTCAGGTTTCAGCAGGGGTAATTCCTATTATCCCCAAATAGACTGATAAACCTAAAATCCGTTAAGCACCTGCGACTCACTCCTTTTTACTGAGCCGCAACAGCTGTGGTAACATGCTATGATACATCGTGTTTTATGTGGGATGCAAATACACCCCTCAGGTGAGCCGGTTACGGCAAGACTGCCCATTTACCAGGGCGAGACCGTTTTGGTCCGCCTTACCGTCACAGCCCTTTGCAGACCTGAGGAAAACACACAAAAGTACGCGGCTTTGTACAGTCAATCAATCGTCGATGCAAGATGCGACAAGACTCTATCCCTCCTCCCATTCAATGCGGCCGTGTCTGATGACCTTTTGGTACCAGCGTCCATGCCACCTCTGCCATTCTCCAGTGTACTGCCGATCTTGGCGAGAGCTTCTGGGGCGATCCTGTTGGGAGCCCTGAGGGTTGTCGAGCCACACACTTGCCGACGTAGATGAGGAGGCTGCTTCTACTTTGGCGGATGTTCGGGCAACCGGGCTAGCAGTGCCTTTCTTGGATGGGCCCTGCCCGTAGGCAGCAGTCTGTTCAGCTTTGTTCTTGGCCTCGTTTTGCTTCTTGGCCCTTTCAGACTGCTTGAGCTTCTCCTCAGCGTTCTTCTTGTAGGAATCTTCATTTTGGCCTTGATCCACTTCAAGTGTTGCTCAGCCTCATGAACAGCTACTTGATCAACACCAGTGCATGAAAGCAAAAGATTGTGTTGTGGATTTCTTTTCAAATAATCAAGGTATTCCTCCTCCGAGTAAATCTCAGTGCGGTACATGTACAGCCACGGCTGGTCAATGTACCTGAAAGATGTTGGAATGTCCAATCTGCTCGGGAAGTCGAGGTACACCAATCGCACTGCATTGTGCTCCAACTGAGATTGTTCTGACACACCAAGCCTCACCTGTGCCTTTGTTCGATCCGGCTTTGGCAAGTGAGCACCACGAAGCAAATCATAGCGTTGGCAGTCATATTCATTCTCACCTTCGTTCAGGACACTTTCTGCAAAAGTTGCATCTTTTGTGAAACGCTCTGCAACAGAATCAAACCCAAGGCTCAGAGCTCGTTCGTACCTACTTTTGGCACGCTTGATGAGGTCAGCTTCGGGGCTTGAACTTCCACGGGCTTGATCTCCAAGAAGTCCAAGTGACTCCAACTGATTCCATGTGATGCTCTGAAGGTGCTCTCCCTTGAAGTCATAGTAGAGTCCCAACTCGTGGAGGGCTGCTTTGCGGCGTTCAGCAATCTTGGTTCTGTCAGCCTTCGCAGCTCCTTCAAGCATCAACCCGCAGACATCACATTCAAGTTGTCCTTTGAAGGTCTCAGCAAAGCATCTCTCGCACTGCTTGGTCTCAATCTTGATGGACACCGGTTTCTGCCCAGGTGACCTTTCCATGGCTTTAGAGACTAGGGCTGATAACCTGTATTTCCAGGTTTCAGCAGGGGTAATTCCTATTATCCCCAAATAGACTGATACACCTAAAATCCGTTAAGCACCTGCGACTCACTCCTTTTTACTGAGCCGCAACAGCTGTGATAACATGCTATGATACATCGTGTTTTATGTGGGATGCAAATACAGGTTTTAGCATTACCTTAGAATGGATTAGATCCCCGAAACTAAGCGGGGTATAATGGGGTATTGTTTGGGATTATAACCCACTTACTAACATTTAACCAACTCCAGGACCCAAGAAAATCTGCACCTACGCTCCAGCGGATCCAACAGGAAGAGGTGATGGTTCTCTGATCCTCGGCCACAGGTCATGCCAGTGACCATCAAGGTGAAACCAAACAAGTAAAGGAACATGTTCCAACTGCTTCACATCAGGAGATCAGGAATCAAATGGATCAAGAAACTCAATCTTCATGAATTTTCCAACAGGTGGGATGTAATCTGGGAATGAATTTGACTCAAATTCTCGTGCCGCGCGGCCAATCAGCAGCCCTGCAGTGCCAAGCGCAGCGGTGTTGGGCCGAAGCGGGCCGGCAGCCGTCAGCAGACCCCCGCCCTTCAGCTGCGAGAAGGGCACTGCTGCCACCTGGGGCAAAGGAATCCATAGCCGCAACATGCCGAAATAAACAATAAGCAAAATGTAAGCCATATAGTAACCCCCCCAAAAGATGCAGAAAAGCAATCTACCACTATTTCAGTAAGCTTCTACCAACTTCATCCAACTTCTATTTTTTGGGGGGCACTGCCATACAGACAGGAAGGCACGCCCAGGGGCCCAGCCTCTTCCAGCTTCTGATGGGAGAAATGGCAGAAGTGCAGGACCTCCACATGTTGCCCCAGTCCGAGGGAGGGGCCAAAGGAATTAACTCTGGGGTTTACCCATGAAACATGGGATTTACATGGATTATCTACCTATCAAAAATGGTGATGTGTATATATATATATAATGATATACATCTTAATATATATATATATATATTTATTTATTTAATATGTATATATATATATATGTGTGTGTGTGCTTGAATATGGGGATATATAGTGGGATGTGTAACTAACAAGGTTATATTTGAATTTGGGTGTGTCCAAAAAGCAAGGGATTTACACCCAATTTATTGCTATTTCAATGGGGGAAAGAATGATAGACCAAGATAGACCAAGCATGATTTGGGGATTTCCTTTTTTCAGACGAACCAAATTTTACCACAAAGCGTGAAGTCTTTGGAGTAAATACATCTACCTAAGGGTCTGTTGTCCAAGCGGAGAGTGGTGAAACTACGGAAATATGGACGTGGGACATGAGCATCATCATCATCATCATCATCAGTATCTATATCTATATCTATATCTATATCTACGCATATCTATACGTATCTATATCTCTATCAATCACCGCCATCCTCATCTTCATCCTCACCCTCACCCAATTCATGTATCATCCTTGCAAAGTTCAGAACTGCTATACCAAAAAAAAACACCCCAAGGTCTTCAAACCACTAGCAGTTCCAGATCTTCCAGGCTTGGGACTGGCTGAACACAATGGTTACGTAGTACAACGGAGGCGACCCACATCTCCAAGGATCGGGGACTAGAGAATTGATCCCACCAATCGATATGGTGATTGTTTGACCCCAATGGATGTTGCCAAATCATATTTAAAAAAAAACATTGTAGCTGGGTAAATTATAATCGAAGGAAGTTTAGAAGCTAAACTTCCGACAATATGGACAGTTGAAACGCAGAGCAGGGAAGAGGCAGAGAGAAGAGAAAGATTAGAAGAAAGAAGAGGTAGATGCGCGAAAAGATAGGAAAGTCGCGATTCACTGTGTTTTTCCAATGATTTGTGGCTCCGGAGGGTCGAAAAGTAGGCTCGCTAAAGCGGCGGGTGCGGAGCCAGCTGGCCAGATGAGAGATGAAAATTTGCACGCTGTTGTGGCGCGAAGCACATTTCCAAGTCAAAATGTACAAAACACGCCACTTTTGGAAGTTGCGATGTCGAAAAAGTGCACGCCGTTGTGGCGCGAAGCACATTTGGAAGTCAAAATGTACAAAACACACCAATGTCGGACCACTTTTGGAAGTTGAGATGTCGAAAAAGTGCACGCCGTTGTGGCGAGAAGCACATTTCGAAGTGAAAATGTACAAAACACACCATGGTCGGAGCACTTTTGGAAGTTGAGATGTCGAAAAAGTGCACGCCGTTGTGGCGCGAAGCACATTTCGAAGTCAAAATGTTAAAAACACTAGGGGTTCGGACCACTTTTGGAGGTTCAGATGTCGAAAAAGTGTCGAAAAAGTGCACGCCGTTGTGGCGCGAAGCACATTTCGAAGTCAAAAGTGTAAAAAACTGAGGGTTTTGAGCCTTTTTTGACGTGAAGATGTCGAAAAAGTAGACACTGATTAACTTAACTACCTTGACTAACTTAACTAACTTCACTAACTTAACTACCCTAACTTCGACGACAACAGCAACAGCAACAGCAACAGCAACAACAACAACAACAGCAACAACACCAACCACAACAACAACAACTACAACTACAACTACAACAACTACACAACAACTACAACTACTACTAGAACTACAACTACAACAGCTACAACAACAACAGCAACAACAACAACAACAGCAACAGCAACAGCAACAGCAACAACACAACAACAACTACAACTACAACTACACAACAACTACAACTAGAACTACAACTACAACAACTACAGCTACAACAACAACAACAACGACAACTACTACTACGACAACGACAACTACACTACACAACAACTACAACCACACAACAACTACAACTACAACAACTACAACTACAACTACAAAACAACTACAGCTACAACCATATGACTGCAACTACACTACACTAATTACATTACACCACAACTACAACTCCACTACGCTACAACTACAACTACAGTTGCAGTACATCACACTACATCCAGCAGTTGTGGGTGAGGTGACCACTGCAACCATTGCAACCATTCCAGCAAACACAACTCCAACCCCCTTTCGGTCAATCAGTGGCTTCGCTCTGCCATCCCTGATTCACAACAACCAACTTCTCCTATAGGTTTCCTATTTTTGAAACTTCCGCCACCGCCTTGTGCGGTACTACTGGTAATTCACAAACCTGAATTAAGGCCATTTGGGGATGATTTCCCTTACTAACCATGATTCCAGTGAGGTCACAGTGAGGTCGTTATAATTTACCCAGATAGTAGGATCCCATGATGGTATCCAAAATTCGAACCCCTACCACCCCAACAAACGACGGGCGGCTTTGAACACCCTGAAAATATGTTAGCCACTTGGGATTGCTATCTCAAAAAGGACAGAAAACACCACTCATCAGATTGAAATCGCCATTTTGGGGGGCCCATATCTCTGCATCCCCCATTTTCAGAACCAATCAGAACCAAAAACATTATTCATTGATTAAATAGTTAATATATATATATACATACATATTATAGATCAAACATGATTAAATAAGGTGAAGTCCCCTTTGATGTAGTTAAACCACCTAAACCACCATGGTTCAACTCCCTCACTGGTACCACCATCCACGTATTGTTCCCATGGTCCCCAAGTGCCAAGACACGGAGTCCTTACTCGCCACCAGCAGCTCCTTGTTCTTCAGCGGCACTGCAAAGCCCAAGGCTGCCGTGGCAATGCGCTGGCTGCAGGAGGCGCTGGTGCCCTGCGACGAAGTTTTCTCGGGTCAGCAATGATGGCGATGGTGAAGAAACCCTCAAAACCCTGGTGAACATACAATGTTGTTACAATGGTTTGTTTATTTTCATCTATTTCTGATATGTTTGGAGGGTATATCCCTGTAAACCATTTCTTTCGATGATTTGTTGACCCCCATGTAGTTGTGGATCAGAATTGAGGGAAATTACAACACGATTTATCCATATGGCCGTTGCTCACGTGGCTCGGTGAAACTATCCAATTTGAAGAAATGCTTGCGCATCATAGGTATACCCAGATTGTCCCCTATTTGGGGGGTTCCATAAAATGGGGTACCGCCAAATGGATGGTTTGCAATGGAAAATCCTATTAAAATGGATGATTTAGGGGTACCCCCATTTCAGGAAACCTCCATTTCTCTACATCCAAAAAATGCCTGAAACATGTAGAGGTAGCCATTGTCGCCGCAGGCCAGGCACTCTCCATCCATCCATGCGCAGTTCAGCACATGTCGTGGAGCACTGCTGGGAGGAAAAATGGCGGACCGCCCCTGGAGCTCCTGCCGCATGCTCAGCTTCGGAATTCACCAACGATTGGTACATGAATATACCAACAATTGGGCATTTATAAGATGTACCCTCTGGTTATTTAACATAGCCATGGAAAATGGCCCATTTATAGATGGTTTACCTATTAAAAATGGTGATTTTCCATGGCTATGTTAAATAACCAGATGGTAGTAATTTATCAGCAAGACTTACATGATTGGAAATCTTAGGGATTTTTGTAGCGGCAATATCCTGCAATAAGTAGCCCAATTCTGCATACCTGATGCATGATGGTGCGCAAACGACCTGCAAAAATTCAGTTTAGACCCAGAAGAAGGAAGGTCCAAACCTAGAAATTGAACTCACATGAGTTCCAGCTATGACCGGTGGAGGGCACAAATTTACTCCACGGGTTTTGACCCAAGTATCTGAAGCCACCCATCTGGCTGTATCATCTTCCCATCTATTCATCCAACAACCTGCTGGGCCAAATGCCACTTGGGACAGATCCCAAACAATATTGTGCAAAGATGTGCAAAGTAGTGGTTTTATAATAAAAATTGCAGCGTCCACACTGTACCGGCTACTACCGGCTACAGCCCATGTTTATCCATTTCCGGGAACTGGGACGAACTTTCGTAGTGCCTAAGGGGTTGGGCCCCCCGTTTGAAGATGACCCCTCCGCCCCACAGCTGTCTCAGGTTTGAACCCAGCAACCGGCCCATTGACCACATGGACGAACTTCAGGAGCAGCCCGATGCCAGTCTTGCCTTGATGGGGTTCGTAATCGTTTCACCCAGGCCCTATCTGCTACAGACATCAAAAACGCAGGGGGAAACTGACTGCGGTGGTTTCAAACCTATTCCGCCCGGGATATCGAAGGAAGGAACAGCCGCATGGTGCCTGCATCAAAGATGGCCACCTGGAAGTTCGCTGCATCTTTGCTGCCGACCATGCCGAAACCACCCACTTTCCCGGTGGCCACCTGCGGCCAGTTTCGGAGGATGATTCCTGAACTGTAGTGATGGAATGTGATGGAATATGGATATCATCAGACCATGACACCCTCAGAGCACACAAAAATGGACACAACAATTTGCCGCACAAGTGATGTCCTGAAAAGCAGGAAGCACCCCACAAAGTTCCCAAAACTGTGATTTCCTTGCATGGCCATCGACAGGAATGGTATAGAAGTGGCCAGCAGCGATGGCAATTGATTTTGCCCCCTTGAGTGCACAACCCTGCATACGTATACTGACAATGTAGATATGGATGCAGATACGCAGAAAGTCATTGAAACAGATACTGTATCCGCCGACCCCGGCCGACGCAAGGGGGAGCGCGTAAGGGAAAAAGAGGTACTGCACTGCTATTACTACTACTACTACTACGACGACGACGACTACTACTACGACTACTACTACGATTTGGTGGCTTCTTCGTCCTTCACTGCCATGCTGTAAATTGAAGAGCTAGTTGAAGAGCTAGTTCTCTAGGATTTCAGAAGGGACGTTAGGGAGTTTTTGGGTGCGATTTGGTGACTTCTTCGTCCTTCACTGCCATGGTGTTTCAGATGGGCGGGTCCGGCGTTTTGGCGGCTCAGAAGCTGTAAGTTGAAGAAGAAGAGGTAGTTGAAGCGCTAGGTCTCTAGGATTTCAGAAGGGACGTTAGGGAATTTTTTGGTGCGATTTGGTGGCTTCTTCATCCTTCACTGCCATGGTGTTTCAGGCTGGCGGGTCCGGCGTTTTGGCGGCTCAGAAGCTGTAAGTTGAAGAAGAAGAGGTAGTTGAAGCGCTAGGTCTCTAGGATTTCAGAAGGGACGTTAGGGAGTTTTTTTGGTGCGATTTGGTGGCTTCTTCGTCCTCCACTGCCATGGTGTTTCAGGTTGCCGGCGTTTTAGCGGGTCAGAAGCTGTAAGTTGAAGAGCTAGTTGAAGAGCTAGTTCTCTAGGATTTCAGAAGGGACGTTAGGGAGTTTTTTGGTGCGATTTGGTGACTTCTTCGTCCTTCACTGCCATGGTGTTTCAGGCTGGCGGGTCCGACGTTTTGGCGGCTCAGAAGCTGTAAGTTGAAGACGAAGAGGTAGTTGAAGCGCTAGGTCTCTAGGATTTCAGAAGGGACGTTAGGGAGTTTTTTTGGTGCGATTTGGTGGCTTCTTCGTCCTCCACTGCCATGGTGTTTCAGGTTGCCGGGTCCGGCGTTTTAGCGGGTCAGAAGCTGTAAGTTGAAGAGCTAGTTGAAGAGCTAGTTCTCTAGGATTTCAGAAGGGACGTTAGGGAGTTTTTTGGTGCGATTTGGTGACTTCTTCGTCCTTCACTGCCATGGTGTTTCAGGCTGGCGGGTCCGGCGTTTTGGCGGCTCAGAAGACAGGCACGTCAGGGAGCTCAGTGTTTTGGCGGCTCAGAAGGTGTAAGTTGAAGAGCTAGTTGAAGAGCTAGTTGAAGAGCTAGTTCTCTAGGATTTCAGAAGGGACGTTAGGGAGTTTTTTGGTGCGGTTTGGTGGCTTCTTCGTCCTTCACTGCCATGGTGTTTCAGGCTGGCGGGTCCGGCGTTTTGGCGGCTCAGAAGCTGTAAGTTGAAGAGCTAGTTGAAGAGCTAGTTGAAGCGCTCTAGGATTTCAGAAGGGACGTTAGGGAGTTTTTTTGGTGCGATTTGGTGGCTTCTTCGTCCTTCACTGCCATGGTGTTTCAGGCTGGCGGGTCCGGCGTTTTGGCGGGTCAGAAGCTGTAAGTTGAAGAGCTAGTTGAAGAGCTAGTTCTCTAGGATTTCAGAAGGGACGTTAGGGAGTTTTTTGGTGCGATTTGGTGGCTTCTTCGTCCTTCACTGCCATGGTGTTTCAGGCTGGCGGGTCCGGCGTTTTGGCGGCTCAGAAGCTGTAAGTTGAAGAGCTAGTTGAAGAGCTAGTTCTCTAGGATTTCAGAAGGGATGTTAGGGAGTTTTTTGGTGCGATTTGGTGGCTTCTTCGTCCTTCACTGCCATGGTGTTTCAAGCTGGTGGGTCCGGCGTTTTGGCGGCTCAGAAGCTGTAAGTTGAAGAGCTAGTTGAAGAGCTAGTTCGCTAGGATTTCAGAAGCGACGTTAGGGAGGTTTTTGGTGCGATTTGGTGGCTTCTTCGTCCTTCACTGTCATGGTGTTTCAGGCTGGCGGGTCCGGCGTATTGGCGGCTCAGAAGCTGTAAGTTGAAGAGCTAGTTAAAGAGCTAGTTCTCTAGGATTTCAGAAGGGACGTTAGGGAGTTTTTTGATGCGATTTGGTGACTTCTTCGTCCTTCACTGCCATGGTGTTTCAGGCTGGCGGGTCCGGCGTTTTGGCGGGTCAGAAGCTGTAAGTTGAAAAGCTAGTTGAAGAGCTAGTTGTCTAGGATTTCAGAAGGGACGTTAGGGAGTTTTTTGGTGCGATTTGGTGACTTCTTCGTCCTTCACTGCCATGGTGTTTCAGGCTGGCGGGTCCGGCGTTTTGGCGGCTCAGAAGCTGTAAGTTGAAGAGCTAGTTGAAGAGCTAGGTCTCTAGGATTTCAGAAGGGACGTTAGGGAGTTTTTTGGTGCGATTTGGTGGCTTCTTCGTCCTCCACTGCCATGGTGTTTCAGGCTGGCGGGTCCGGCGTATTGGCGGCTCAGAAGCTGTAAAGCTGAAGAGCTAGTTGAAGAGCTAGTTCTCTAGGATTTCAGAAGGGACGTTAAGAGTTTTTTGGTGCGATTTGGTGACTTCTTCGTTCGTCCTTCACTGCCATGGTGTTTCAGGCTGGCGGGTCCGGCATATTGGCGGCTCAGAAGGCAGGCACGTCATGGATCTCAGTGTTTTGGCGGCTCAGAAGCTGTAAGTTGAAGAGCTAGTTGAAGAGCTAGTTCTCTAGGATTTCAGAAAGGACGTTAGGGAGTTTTTCGGTGCGATTTGGTGACTTCTTCGTCCTTCACTGCCATGGTGTTTCAGGCTGGCTGGTCCGGCGTTTTGGTTGCTCAGAAGCTGTAAGTTGAAGAGCTAGTTGAAGAGCTAGTTCTCTAGGATTTCAGACGGGACGATTTGGTGGCTTCTTCGTCCTTCACTGCCATGGTGTTTCAGGCTGGCGGGTCCGGCGTTTTGGCGTCTCAGAAGGGAACACATCAGGGAGCTCAGTGTTTTGGCGGCTCACAAGCTGTAAGTTGAAGAGCTAGTTGAAGAGCTAGTTCTCTAGGATTTCAGAAGGGACGTTAGGGAGTTTTTTGGTGCGATTTGGTGGCTTCTTCGTCCTTCACTGCCATGGTGTTTCAGGCTGGCGGGTCCGGCGTTTTGGCGGCTCAGAAGCTGTAAGTTGAAGAGCTAGTTGAAGAGCTAGTTCGCTAGGATTTCAGAAGGGACGTTAGGGAGTTTTTTGGTGCGATTTGGTGGCTTCTTCGTCCTTCACTGCCATGGTGTTTCAGGCTGGCGGGTCCGGCGTTTTGGCGGCTCAGAAGCTGTAAGTTGAAGAGCTAGTTAAAGAGCTAGTTCTCTAGGATTTCAGAAGGGACGTTAGGGAGTTTTTTGATGCGATTTGGTGGCTTCTTCGTCCTTCACTGTCATGGTGTTTCAGGCTGGCGGGTCCGGCGTTTTGGCGGCTCAGAAGCTGTAAGCTGAAGAGCTAGTTGAAGAGCTGGTTCTCTAGGATTTCAGAAGGGACGTTAGGGAGTTTTTTGGTGCGATTTGGTAGCTTGCAGAAGCAGTACAAGATGTCGCATATTTTTAATTCAAACATATCAAATATATTTCATAAAAATCTACATATGAAAAAGAAGAAAGCGTGAAAGTGCGAAGCACCGAAGAATATCTATGCCCATTTGGTTTGCTTACTTGACCATTCTTCCGGGGTCGGCGGCAGGGGCGGCAGCCCCTTAATCCGGCCAGGGGCCCCCTGGCCGTGTCCTTGCCGTACGGCAGTTCTCTCCTCTCCGTAGGAGAGAGGGGCCGCCGCCCCAGCCGCCGACACCCCCGGCCGCCAAAAACCACCGCGTTTTACGGTGTTTTGTGCTCTTCGCATTTTTTCCCATTTTTCGGATCTTGTGGTTTAAGATGGGTCAACATGGGCCAAGATAGGCCTCAAGATGGGCCAACATAGGCCTCAAGATGGGCCAACATAGCCCCAAGATGGGCCAACATAGCCCCAAGATGGGCCAACATCGCCCCAAGATGGGCCAACATCGCCCCAAGATGGGCCCACATAACCTCAAGCTGGGGCAACATAGCCCCCAAGATGGGCCAACATAGCCCCAAGATGGGCCAACATAGCCCCAAGATAGGCCGCCGACCATCAAAATATCATGCGTTTTACAGTGTTTTTTTTGCTGTTCCCATTTTTCGGATCTTTTGGCTCAACATGAATCAACCTGAGGCCAACATAGGCCAACATAGCCACAAGATGAGCCCACATTGCCCGCAAGATAGACCAACATAGACCAACATAGGCCAACATAGGCCAACATAGCCACAAAATGGGCCCACATAGTTGGGCCCCTGGCCGGCTGTCGCGCGTAAGCGCTTAAATATATACTTAATCATACTTCAATATTAATTACATATCTATACAAGTATATGTACATATGTAATTGATATATACATATAGTACATATGTAGCTACACTGATATGACCTTCGTTTGACCCATGTCCTACCCCGTGGTACCATCCCTATGCTCCAGCCATTTTGTATCGTCCCACCTTGGCCACGGGTGTCCGGTAGACGTGCGGCAGCTCCATGCCCGCACTGGTGATGCCACAGGACGTCTTCCCTGGAAGGAAGCTCTCCCACATGGCCAAGGTGTTGGCCGAGTCCTTAGGGAAACCAGGTGGAAAAAACTGGATCGCTGGGTCCCCAAAAATAAAGACGATGTGGATATTAGGAAATCATGGAGATCATTGGAGATATGAATAAGACCTACTTTATCTCTGATCAAAATGTATGATATATATATATATAGAGAGATTAGATAGATAGATAGATAGATAGATAGATAGATAGATAGATAGGTTTGTCCTGATATCTGCGGCCCCCTGCAAATAAAATGTCAGACCAATGCAATCAAAAAAAGACGAAAGGATGCAAAATATGCGGAACAAAACACTAAAAAAACACCAAAGATCCAACAAGTGTGGTGGAAATGACGGAATGACCATCGACAAAAAGGGCTTCATATGACTGGATAAAAAGGAAACCGGCTATGCCAGCCAGCGAAAAACTCAGATTGACAGTACCTTCCTGGAAGCCATGGGCTGCATGACATCATGGAACAGCCACAAATTTGTGGAAGTGGAATTGGCTGAAGTCTATATACATGTACGTGTATGTATCTACGTATATATATATATATACACATATACATATAATTATATATATCACACCGAAAAATGCAGAGAGAGAGAGAGGGAGAGAGTATCATAGAGATCTATCTATACATATGTGTGCCATACTAAAAACATTGTACCAGTATTTCTGGTTGGTGGTTTTAACCCCTCTGAAAAATATGAAAGTCAGTTGGGATGATTATTCCCAATATATGGAAAAATAAAATTCATGTTCCAAACCAACAACCAGTATTTAGGTTATGGTCATCCCACAGTTCTTGGGAATCGGTACGATGGCCGCTGGCCATTATAATTCCTATTATCTGATGGTGGCACGACCATCTCCCGATACTGGAAAATCAAAGAAATCATATTTTGACCATGGCACATATACAGGTTATGTTATGACAAGATCCAATTAGTCACTAGTAAGCCCCAAAATTGAACCATGTAAACTTACCATGTTTAAGAGTTAAATCCCAAGTCTTCACCATGTTTCATGGTTAAAATCATGTGAAATCATCATTCATCATGGTTAAACCACCATTTTTCATGGTTTAATCCTCATCTTTCACCATTTCTCCTGGTTGCAGGGGAAATCCAAGCCGCCCGCGCCAGGCTGAAGAGCTGGTTGCCATCCGGGCTGAAGCACAACGAGGTGATCTGATCCTGTCCAAAATATGGGGAGGTTGCGTATTTTTAAGACAAATGATTTGAAAACATTGCTTACATTTCCAAAATGTGGAATATATATATATGCATATATGTATATATATGGAAAATCCCAAACATAATCGGATTTTCTTCCGGAACTGTTTTTTGCTTTTTTTCATTCGCGTGAAAGATTAAGAGACGATTCTTCAGGAACCTAAGAAAGATATGTATGTGTATATATATATGTATTGCCTATAGATTCTCCAAGTAGTGGATTTCCCATGAGGGAAACTTAAGACTCCTCGCACATCCAGGGTTACCCTCTGGTAATTTAACTGATTGCTATGGAAAATTGCCCATGTTTAGATTATTTACCTATTCAAAATGGTGATCTTCCATAGCTATGTTAAATTACCGGGCGGTAACCCTCGGAAATGGTGAAAACATGGGAAGTAACCATCAAAAATGTGGCTACACATGGGATAAAATATGATGTACAACCGTGCAACCAACATCAACCAACCAAATCAACCAACCATATGATATGTGGGGTGTGTCCAAAAATTGGCGATGATTACTCACTCCAAAAGTGCGCAGAGAACAATGATAGTCAACTCCACCATCAAATTGGAGGATACCCCATGTTCAGACAAACCAATGTAGGGATGAGAGAATCATAGATAGGCAAAGTGTGCGAGATGTTTTCCTGCAAGATGCACAGTATACAGATGTTGATCCCTTCCCCCTAAGATCAAATATTCCCCATATGGGCACACAAAATAAACCAATCCAATACTAAACTAGACTAAACAAGGTTTTCCATTGAGAGGTATTTGAGATTAGGGATGCATCATAAAATTAAGGATTTAACATGATTTAACCCTGAACACACCGGATGAATGGTGATTTACCCAGGAACAATTGGTGCAATCCCAGTTCAATTGGTGGCTCCTCATGTAGGGGGCAGACCAAGACGGTGAGCAGGATGCAGTCTGCAGGTCGCCAAAGGCAGATGAAAGGACCTGTGCAGGGCGTTAAACGTTGCCAGAATTAGCTTTGGTAAGTGGATGTAAGTGATCAGAAACCAACAAACATCTGGGATGTATTGGGATATGATATACCGCAATTCTGGCAACATCTAAGCATGAAGTGTGTGTGTGTGTGTGAAGCTTCAAATTAAGGTCCTCGTTTTCGAGACAGCAGGGTCATAAATCCAAGGATACTTGCATCCAACATCATCTAGTCACAAGTAAGTGGATGCTGGATTTTCCCAAAGGTCAAACTGATTGAACCCCAAACATTGAACCCCAATTAGCCAGTAATGTTATGACCGCTCCATGGCTTTGTCCTAAAGGAACATTCCCCATGGAATCAAACAATTTCCGTGAATTGGGGTGAGAAACCGTACCCCAAGATCCATGTTCCAATCATTGGTGAAATATGCTGGAATCCCCATGTTCCATGATTTTCGATAAAAAATCCCAAGTTTGCACCATGTTTCATGGTTTTAAATCATGTTCATCATCATTTTTCATGGTAAAACCACTATTTTTTCTCCATTTTTGATGGTTTGATCCCAAGTTCCATCGGTTTCCAGCTGGAAAACTCCGCTGGAAAACTCCACCGGACGACACCTTGGCCCCCCTTGGGATCGATCTGCCCTGAAGCACAGAGCTTCCAGGCGCTGCAGTAGCTGAGGCATGTGATCCTATGGAACGCTGCAGGGATTTTTGCGCTACAGCTACTGAAAACGGTGGCGTATTTTATGGGAGATTTGTGGGAAAAAAATAACATTTATAACATTTATAACATTTATAACATTTATGTAATCTGAGATATAATTTTGATAATATATATATATAACTGATGGAAGGTTCATCATTGTAACTTCTCCGGAGAACTGGATGGTGTGGGATTGGTTTACCCGTTACAGTAAGTGGGATGATCCACCGTTGGCTAAGTTGGTTGATAACTACGTTAAGTGAATGATATATCTATACTCAATGGCGTTCCAACCACCTTACAACTGGGGGGTCCCTTCCTGTAAGAAGTGTTCAACGTGCCTTTGTTCATCAACCAGAAGTCTTACAAACCTTGGATGATATTGTTTTGCTTCAACTTGGACTACCAGGTTTAGCCATGAACAGTGGGTATGTAAACCTTGGCGTAGGTCTTGGCTTGCAAATGCCACACGGAACCCAGACACGCACCCATGACTTGCTATGGTTTCAAGTACGGCACCTACTGCGGCTGCATCCCCATTTATACATAGCCGCATAGAAGATCAATGGAGTGGTTTAAGGGAAGACTTGACTTACGGAAACCATGGATTTTACCATGAAATATTGGGGGTTCCTGTAGAGTTTCCCTTAAAGCAATGAGGGCTTTACCCCACAAGTTGGAGGACTTTGAATCCCATGAGCCAAAGCCAGCCACGTATAGCCATAACATATACTGACCCAATTGCCCTCCAACAATCAAACGTGGCCTTTTCTGGAAACCCCAGCCACATTTGATCGTCCGACATCCAAGGCTCCTTTGGCTGTGCCCCACGAAGAATCTCTGCCTTGCCTGGACCAAGGAGTAGGGTAAGGCTGTTGTGGTTAGTAAGTGGGTTGTAGCTCCTCAAAAAATACTGGGGTGGATTGGGATATACCCCAGTTACTAACCACTTAGGCAACATAGTAAGAGCAAGAAATTTGGGGGAGTTGGGCGACAACGGTTGGCGATTCAAAGGCAACATCATGTGGAAATTGCCAACAAACAAGACAAGAAATGCAGATATGACCATGACATAGCAAGACTAGCGACTAGCAAAGTGAGATATAAATAATGCTATGATCGTCATTGTTTCTCATTTTATGGGTATATTATATACGTGGGTACATAGCCAACCCACCACAAGGGAAGTATATCAGAAACCAATGCAGGGGAAGGGTACTGGACATATGAACAGAAAAACAATACGTATTAAGACTAATCTAGACTCTAGACCGTCAGACCACACTGCCACAACATGTTACAACCTGCTTGGAAATGAGAAATGCTTAAAAAATGGGAATGATGAGGAATGATAGTGTTTTTTTAATGCTAAGCACGTGGTTAGTTCTATACTACAAAACCCTCCTTCTTCACCTTTCGTGGCAAGTTGCAGGGTGCAGGCATTGAACCACCGCCACGGCTGCCACTGAAAAGACAAACTCTTCGTCCTGGGATATCGGAAAGGACCATCATCCAATTGGACTGAATAAGTTCAAATTGCCTTTGAAAATGGGACTGCCAATTGAACAAACGCATGGCCAAGAAATCCGGAATTGGCATCACGAAAAAAAAAACTGATCTTCAATCATTCTGCAAAAGTGACCTGATAACTAAAGATAATCACATCCAAAAGAAAGAGTTGTCGTTGTCTGCTCAAACCCAATTCTTCAAATTTCCATTTGCATGAAATTATCTGAAACTAAATCCTACTGAGACGATACCTGAAGGAAACCCAATCTGATTTACCATATCTCTACATATCTCTACCAACTTTCCGTGTGGGGTTTGTGTAAACCTCAAAAAAATTGGAGTGAATCATTCGGTTTGCCACATCATCCACTACTATCTATCCCAATATTTCCCAGCCATGTTGGGGGCTATTCAGGACCGTAGCCTCTTGCAATCAAACACAGCTTGCTGGAAAATCACCAAATGATTCTACTCTTGAAAAAAGAGACTGTCCATTGTCGTGTTGGACCCAAAAGGATGAGTCCCCATGTGTTTAAAACATGTTAAAACCACCAATTTCGTGAGTCCCCAGGAAAAATCGCATGGCTAAACGACCCATCCAAAGTTGACCCCGCAGATCCGCCGAATCCAACATGGCAAGCTGGGAAATCCCCCAGAAAAATGGGTCCATGGAAAGGCCTTAGCATAACTGGGAAAAAAAAATCCCCTCTGGTAGATACAATATTATGTGGTATAGTAACTATAGTATGTGTAAAATTCTCGCTGGTATACGATTATAATCAATTATAGCTACTATTCAATTTATAGTTATGATATCAAATTATAGTATGTGCTACTATATACAATGAATGGATACAATTATACAGAGTTGTATAGTATATGGAGAATTTCCTGAAATAGGTGTACCCTTAGTTATCATCCATTTTTAACAGGATGTTCCATAATTTTTATCATCCAGCTATTGGGGTAGCAGCATGACTATCCCCCCATATGTATTCGAACTATTTCAACTACCCTCTGGTTATTTAACATAGCCATGGTATAGATGGCCCATAGAAATGGATGGTTGACCTATTAAAAATGGTGATTTTCCATGGCTATGCTAGTCATAACCAGATGGTATATCTTAGCATGGCGCTCTACCACGTTTTCTTTTGAGCTATTTTGTCCAAGTTTGGGTAATTATTATCCCTAGGTGTGGTAATTATTGTCCCCAAGTTTGGGGAATTATTGTCCCTAACTTTGGCCTAAGTTTGGTAATTTTTGTCCCTAAGTGTGGCCTAAGTTTGGTAATTAGGGACAAAAATTCCCAAAAGCTAGGGACAAAAATGGCAAAACAATGCCTAAAGAGATAGCCCAAAAACATGGTAGAGAGACATGCTAAGGTATATCCATCTTGGTGAACTTCCAGGCCATGGCTCAGAGATCCAGTGCACAGCTCCTACGGCCCGGCCATTGTAGCCATAGGCCCAGTCCAGCTGTAGCTGGCTGGAGGGAGCCTGGAGATCCTGGAGTCAGGGTGAAAAGAGACCCTTAAATTGGGGGAAAAAAGCTGGATTAACCACAGGAAAATGGTGGTTTATCCAACAAAAATGGGATGCTGATGTGATTTTGGCATGATTTTACTGGGATCTCACGTGCCAACATGGGAATGTAACCATTTTTTGATGGGAATTTAACCCTCTGGTACAAATGCAAAAAAGCTATGGAACTCCACGGGTGTCCCTAATAAAAGATCTACGACTGGTGGATTTTTCATATCCATGCTACTTTCTGGAGGGTTAAGTGACCCATGAAAATCCCCTATTCCCTATCCCATACCCTGGACTGACTCCATATATGTAGATCAATAATGATGAATAGAGCAAGATAGATCAAGCACATTCCACCAGGGTGTCTTTTCTGGGCTGCATTTGATATGGGAGGCATTACCAAAATTCATGGTCAACCATGGTCAACCCACAATGGGAACCCTTATTTTTGTGGTATCTACAGTATGAATATTGGATTATCCCATATATATATAATAATACATATATATATATATATGGAACCAGTGATTCATTGGAAAAGACCAGTGATCCTTATATGTTTTAAATAGAGTCATCTTTTGACCACCACCTCCTCGCTGGGCTCGACATAGTTGGAGGGTGGTAGCAGCACGGTGGGCCGCTGACCCAGCAAGGCACGGGTAGATTTCACGGGTGCCATGGCTGGGCCTAAACGATCATTGGGCTGATGTTTACCATCGAAAATTTGAATTGAACAGTTTGAACAATCAAAATTGTTGCGCTTTGGTCTATCGAAATGTGTACTCAACCATCGAATGTTGGACTTGATCTATCAATTTTTGAATTTGACCAGCAAATGTTGAAGTTGATCCATCAAATTGGGTCTGTCTGAAAACAGTGCATACCAAACCCGCTCAACATGACTAGAAGTCGATTATTGGCAGGACATGAGATGTTCCTCCATCAAAATGGCCGAAAAGGCATGTATAAACCTACCAGGTCCATTTCTGGCCATGTGTTCTACAGTCAGTGGGTGCATATCTTTGGCACCCCGATGGCTTTTTTCAAGTTCAGCGGCAAGTTCCATGTCGCATCGGACATGTAAAATCCACGTTGCGGCATGCGATGGCCATGGATTCCCGGATGGCACTGGATCTGCCACTGCACCAGGGGTCCATTGCGTCTCAAGACAAATCGCTCTGGGTAAATCAGAGGCTAAAAGGGACTTATCGTAATTTTTGAAGCTGTCTTCGACCATGTTTGACGCCATGGTCATCATTTCTGACTCCTTACTACCTCTTGATGATCTTTGAATATGTTATTTTAACACTTCAATCATTGTCAAACGATTTCTGAATGTTTGGGGTTTTCCTATCTTCCAGTTGTGTGTGTGTGTTTTTGTGCTGTGTTTTCCATCGATGTGTTTGACTCCTTAACATTGTTGAAATGATGATTTTATGTAGGGTACATGTTTGACCGATGTTCTGCATGATAATTGGAACGATCCTTCAATGATATTCCCCTAGTTATGTTTGCTGGCTTATACAATCCATTTATACAAGTCAAACCATATGGAATTCTCTATGAACTTCTATGAACTCATGATTGTGGTCAAAAGTTGTTCGACACCCATCTTCCCCTGCATGTTCATCCGTGTTTCATCACCAATAAACTTATTCATGGCATTCTTTACCATAGTTATTCCATCACAAATAATTACAGAAGGTAAATTTAACATGGAACCCCAAACATGGTGTTTGGGAGATCATTTTACTACTTTAGGAGATCATTTTACTACTGTATATGGCTGTGTTTGCGTTTTCATGGTGGATTTGTTCGGGTGTACTCACTTCATTCTTCTCGGATTTTTGAGAAATTGTCTGTGTTTTCATCACCATAAACTTACTCACTTCATTCTTGAGGAAATTGTGATAGTTACTCCTTTCATTCTTTATCATATCACTATTTAGTCACCCTAAACCATAGCTATAAATATATATATATATCATCACCACAAAATTACTATTCATCACCGTAGTTGCAACGGTTATTTCATCACCATTCTTTGGGAAACTGAGGGAACATCAACAATTCCCATAGAATGGTGATGTTTCTTTGATAAACTTGGGAATTGTTGATAGACACTTGGGAATAAGTGACTATTTCACTATTTGTTGGCCTAAATGTACTCCCAATTTCTAGTGTTAGTGAGATAGTTAGTAACTTTTATCTCAACTTAAACAGTTAGTTGTAATTTATAGAAACTTTATCTGGCAGTGTGTCAAAACCTTGTACCCCTGTAGTTCACATCAAAATAGCTGGGATTTATGGATGTTCATCCCCCTAAAAATGGTATCAATAGGTATTAATAGGTATTGATCCATAGCCATCTCAAGAAATCCTGAGTTTATCTCTACTTCACTAGGATCTTCCCCCGGTCACCGTCACCGCGAGGGCCGGCCTCTCCGGCATCATGTCGGCGCCGCCGAAGACGCACTCCGTGGAGCCCACCTGGCGGACGAAGCCCACGTCACAGGCGAAGTCGGCCTGCCCGGGGGCGCCCCGGGAGGTCATCCACGGCTGAGAAAATCCCCCGGGAAAATCGGTGATAAACGGTGGAGTTATGGAAAGATCCACCATTTTTAATAGGTAAACCATGGTAAGTTATGGAAAGATCCACCATTTTTAATAGGTAAACCATGGTAAGTTATGGAAAGATCCACCATTTTTAATAGGTAAACCATGGTAAGTTATGGAAAGATCCACCATTTTTAATAGGTAAACCATGGTAAGTTATGGAAAGATCCACCATTTTTAATAGGTAAACCATGGTAAGTTATGGAAAGATCCACCATTTTTAATAGGTAAACCATGGTAAGTTATGGAAAGATCCACCATTTTTAATAGGTAAACCATGGTAAGTTATGGAAAGATCCACCATTTTTAATAGGTAAACCATGGTAAGTTATGGAAAGATCCACCATTTTTAATAGGTAAACCATGGCAAGTTATGGAAAGATCCACCATTTTGAATAGGTAAACCATGGTACGTTATGGAAAGATCCACCATGTTTAATAGGTAAACCATGGTAAGTTATGGAAAGATCCACCATTTTTACTAGGTAAACCATGGTAAGTTATGGAAAATCACCATTTTTAATAGGTAAACCATGGTAAGTTATGGAAAGATCCACCATTTTTAATAGGTAAACCATGGTAAGTTATGGAAAGATCCACCATTTTTAATAGGTAAACCATGGTAAGTTATGGAAAGATCCACCATTTTTAATAGGTAAACCATGGTAAGTTATGGAAAGATCCACCATTTTTAATAGGTAAACCATGGTAAGTTATGGAAAGATCCACCATTTTTAATAGGTAAACCATGGTAAGTTATGGAAAGATCCACCATTTTTAATAGGTAAACCATGGTAAGTTATGGAAAGATCCACCATTTTTTATAGGTAAACCATGGTAAGTTATGGAAAGATCCACCATTTTGTATAGGTAAACCATGGTAAGTTATAGAAAGATCCACCATTTTTAATAGGTAAACCATGGTAAGTTATGGAAAGATCCACCAATTTTAATAGGTAAACCATGGTAAGTTATGGAAAGATCCACCATTTTTAATAGGTAAACCATGGTAAGTTATGGAAAGATCCACCATTTTTAATAGGTAAACCATGGTAAGTTATGGAAAGATCCACCATTTTTAATAGGTAAACCATGGCAAGTTATGGAAAGATCCACCATTTTTTATAGGTAAACCATGGTAAGTTATGGAAAGATCCACCATTTTTAATAGGTAAACCATGGTAAACCATCTATTTCGATTAGGGCCATCGAAAAACCATGGCTATGTAACTTAAATAACCAGAGGGTAAATAGTATAAAATTTGGTGGGACTCTCCGACTATCCATTGTTGATGGCTAGAATTCTGGGATGTTGTACCTCCAAAAGTTGGGATATGACCCCTACTATGGTGAAATCTGACCCACTAAAAATAGTTGAACTGCACCTACAAGGATGGGACACGGCTAGTGAACTGCTTAGCAACTGGGTGACCTTCTAAGTGGGTACCCTCTGGTAATTTAACATAGCTATTGAAAATGGCCATTTATAGTGGATTTTCCCATTGAAAATGGTGATTTTCCATAGCTATGTTAGTTTACCAGAGGGTATATAATAGTGGATCATAAGTTATCAATGCATAAATCATGTTTGAATACCAATGGGTTGATTTAGGGAGAAATCAGGAGTTGAGTGTGGCTTGGGCTGTGGAGTTCGTTGGTTGGTAAATGGGTGACCATGTCATATGCCCTTCTAACTTGGTAGGTGAAAAGTTGCTGATTCCACCCAAAAGACTGGGATGTGTTGGGATACCAGTTTCTACCAATCACTAGTTCTGGCAACATCCGTAGAAAATGCTGGAAATGATTTTGGAACCATTAACAACTGGTCGGAAAATGGTTGTTCATAAGGAAATTGTTGTTGAAAAATTGTTGTGAATAACTTCAGAATGCGTTTGAAACTACTAAACTTGGAGGGGACAAGCAACCGAAATGATCAAGCACAAACAACAGAAACATACAATATGGGCATTGGTTGAAGGATGTTGAAGGGAAATTTTGGCCAGAAACCCATGGTTTCCAAATCCAGTTGGGCTCAAAGCCCCCAAAACCGATGGGAACTTTGGAGTTCAACCAGCCAATTTGTCTGCGATGTGTGGACTATGAGGGTGTCATCCACAATTTTGATGATTTATCATCAGTGTCCTTTTTACAAAATGCCATTAACCCAGCTTTGCAACCCAGCTTTGCAACCCAACAGCATACCTGAATCTTCCACCTACGTCTTTTTTCAGACCCTGTGCCAAAATCCTGTTTTTTCAGTACCCAGAAAACTTTTCAGGACCTACTCTCAAATTCAGGACCTGGCCATTTTGGGGTATCAATGGTAATGGCAATCATTGGGTGCAAACATGTGAAACCAACATTTGGGGGATATTCAAGCCATTGGCATTGATCCACGCAAATAAAAGCACTCCCAGCCCACACTCATGGCAAGGCAGGATCAGAATATAGTATATTCCAGAAAGTATGTCAGAATAGATGCCAGATAGGATGCCAGAAAGAATGTCAAATAGAATTTCAGAAAAGAATGTAAGATAGTATGTCAGAACATATGTGCCACATATACGTCCAGATGATATGTCAGAAACTATGTCAGAATAGTGTGTCAGGGTGGGGATCACTCTTAGTAAGGCAATTTTGAAAATATATTTCAGGTTCGGAATTTTCAAACTGTTGTCCTTCAGGCGCCGAAGCTCCCGTTGAAGGTCAGCATCGCCCCATGTCAACTGGTCCAGTCCCACTTCCGTTTCAACAAGTCCAACTTCATCGATTAGGGTGTTGGTTGAATGGACTTGGGACTCTAGCTGGCACGGCATCCCTTGTAACCCTGTAGACACTGTAGTGGGCAAAAAGATTGTAACACACAGAATCAGCATCATTTTGATCAGGCATTCTTTTTGCTAATCCTTCTCCCTATACGAAAAATACCCCCAAATGACAAAAACTAGGTGCGATTTCCAATTTTGGGAAATGTCAAATTGGTTAATCTGATTTTTAATTGATCCCCTTGAGGAAACAATTTTAAAAATGAAGGTACCATGTGAGGGTTTCACCCCCAAAGAACAAAGAACTAGTCAACACCGGGGTGTCTTTTATTGGGGTCCGTCCTTTAAAAATCGTCAATTTTAGTTTTTTTAATTCAGGTGTTGGTGTTTTATTTGATACTAGGCGAAAGCTTCGAAATCCTATTCTTGGCAGTATTCTATTTAAAGATTATTTTCATGGATTTTGAAATTAGAAACAAAAAACGGTTTAATCCCTTCCCCCTGTTGCTAAACAGTCGCCCCTTCACCCACCCACCCAAATAACAAACACCTGGAGGAATTTTTAGTATTGGGGGGGTCTTTAGTATTAGGGTACGAAGCTTCCCCCTAATACTGATAAAAAAAACACACACACACGCATATATATATATACACATATTTCTATTTAAAAATCGATCAGATTTCTTTCTTTTTAAATCCAATTAAAATATTGCAAACAAGTGGATTCCGAAGCTTAATATCAAATAAAACCCCCAACATAAAAAAATATGTATGTTTTTCTTTTTCGAAATCGATTAGATTTCCTTTTAAAAATTTAAATAAAATATGGCCAAAAAATTGGATGTCGAAGTTTTTCCCTTATATTAAACCCTAATATCATTTTGTTTTTTTCCTGTTTCAAAATCGATTAGATTTCCTTTTGAAATCTAATGAAAAAAAACAAAAAAAATGATTTTGAAGCTTTCCCCTAATATCAAATTAAAATCCAATTGTTAAAATATGTTCAAAAATTGGATTTCGATGCTTCCCCTAATCTTGCATGAAAAATTCCAATATAAAAAACTAAATTTGTTCTATTTCAGAATCGATTAGATTTCCTTATAAATCAAATTAAGATATTGCCAGAAATTGGATTTCGAAGCTTTCCCCTAATATTAAACCCTCATATCAAAGACTATTTTTTCTATATCAAAATTCATTAGATTTCCTTTTGAAATCTAATTAGAATATGGTCAAAAATTGGATTTTGAAATTTTCCCCTAATATTACATTAAAAAAACCCTAATATAAAATATTATTTTTTCTTTTTTGAAATCGATTCGATTTCCTTTTAAATTGTAGTAACAAAAATAAAAACAAAAACCGGATTTCGAAATGTTTCCTCTAATATTAAATTACCAGCCCTAATATATTTAAAAAAAAAACTGTTTCAAAATCGATTAGTTTTCTGTTTAACATATAATTAAGATATTGCTAAAAATTGGATTTCGAAGTTTTCCCCTAAGATTAAATTAAAAACACTAATAAAAAAAAACTATGTTTTTTCGATTTCAAGAATCGATTAGATTTCCTTTTGACATCCAGCAAAAATATTTCCAGGCAATGCCAAAAAGTGGATTTCGAAGTTTTCCCCCAATATTAAAAAAACGTTGTAATATAAAATACTTATTTTTTCGACCTTAAAAGACCCTAGTTTAAAAAAACACCGGGGCTGACTAGTTTTTATTTTTTGGTGGTGAAATTCTGAAATGGGACCTTCATGTTTAATTTGTTTTTGAAAAGGTATCAATTAAAAGTCAAACTGGCCAGCCTGAAATTTCCCAAAATTTAACGCGGACCCTAGTAAAAGGAATCAATGTAATATTTTAGTATTTAGGGTACGTTTAGTAAAAGGAGATGGGGATTAGTAAGGTTTTCAATTTAATATAAGGGGAAGCTTCGAAATCCAATTTGGCAAGATTTGAGTTAGATTTTGAATAGGAATTCAATCGGTTTTGAAATATAAAGTTCATTTTTAAAAACAAATGTTTTCAATTTAATGTCAGGGGGAAGCTTCGGAATCCAATTTTGGCAATATTTTAGCTAGATGTTATTTAAAAAATGTTTTCCAATTTAGTTTTTTTCAACCAAGGGGGAAGTTTCGCACCCTCATACTAAATACCCACTAAATACAAAAAACTATTCCGTGTGTTCATTATTGGGTGGGGAGGGGCAGACGGTTTATTATGACGCAGGGATTGGTCAGGCATCACTTGCCGGAATTATTGGATTCTTTTGGGATGATTGGTATGATGTTTAGTCAGGCATGGTTCCCTTCAGTCATGCACGATTTTTGCAAAAATCCTATTTAGGCACGACCCCAAAATCCCAGCCCGGCAAATTCCGGCCCGGGCCCGGCAAATTCCGGCCCGCACCCTGCAAATTCCGGCCCTGCGTTTTTCCAAAATCAGGCAAAAACGCATAATCAGGTATTAAGTCAGGTGTAGTTACCTTTTAAGTCATTAAAGCTAGTCAGGCATGGTTCCAGTGGGTACCTTTTAATTGTGAAGGCTAGTCAGGCATGGTTCCCTTAATTCAGAGGCATGGGTACCTTTTAATTATGAAGGCTAGTCAGGCATGGGTTCTGTTAAGTCAGGCGTGGGTGGGTACCTCTTAATTATGAATGCTAGTCAGACATGGTTCCCTTAAGTCGGGTGTGGTTACGCTTTAAGTCATGAAGGCTAGTCAGGCATGGGTACCTTTTAAGTGATGAAATCTGAATCAGGCGGAGCTCCTATTCTAAATGTGTTAAATAAAATTGTTCAGTGTGGAAAATCGATTTTTTTGGCTGGTCTACGGGCAAACCCTGTGTCTTCCAATACCATAGCGTGCTGATGCCGCTTGCCTGCATAATAGTTAAGGCCAAAGCTTAGGTCATCAGTGTGATCCTGAAATGGCGCCACGACCAAGAAGATGACATGTGTAAAATGGGCCCTGGATTAACAAAGGCTGACTAATGAATTTGGAGGATGCCACTAAAGGATGACATGTAATCACTTTTGAGGAGCACTCTATGGCACGCAGCGCGCGCAGCCTGCTTTACGGTTTAGCGTTTGAAAGTTTTAGGCTTTGTCTCTATGGCACGCAGCGTTTGAAAGTTTAACCATTTACCTCTATGGCAGGCTGTGCGCGCAGTACGCGTTACGGTTTAAAGTTTGAAAGTTTTAGGGTTTATGTGTGTGGCACGCAGTGCGCGCAGCGCGCATTAGGGTTCAGGGTTTGGAAGTTTTATAGTTTATTTTATTGCATGCAGCGTGCACGGTTGCAGGGTTGCAGGGTTCCAAGGTTCCAGGGTTCCAAGGTTGCAGGGTTCCAGAATCCTTGAGGGTTCCAGGGTGCCAAGGTTCCAAGGTTTCAGGGTTCCACGGTCGCAGGGTTCCAAGGTTCCAGGGTTTCAGGGTTCCGGGGTTCCAAGGTTCCAGGGTTCCAGGGTTCCGGGGTTCCAAGGTTTCAGATTTCCAAGGTTCCAGGGTACCAAGGTACCAGGGTCCCACGGTTTCAGGGTTCCAAGGTTTCCACGGTTCCAAGGGTTCCAAGGGTTCCAAGGGTTCCAAGGGTTCCAAGGGTTCCAAGGGTTCCAAGGGTTCCAAGGGTTCCAAGGGTTCCAGGGTTTCAGGGTCCCAGCAGGGTGCCAGGTGTGCAGGGTTGCAGGGTTCCAAGGTTCCAGGGTTCCAAGGTTGCAGGGTTCCAGAATCCTTGAGGGTTCCAGGGTGCCAAGGTTCCAAGGTTTCAAGGTTTCAGGGTTCCACGGTCGCAGGTTCCAAGGTTCCAGGGTTTCAGGGTTCCAGGGTTCCAGGGTCCCACGGTTTCAGGGTTCCAAGGTTTCCAGGGTTCCAAGGGTTCCAAGGGTTCCAAGGGTTCCAGGGTTCCAGGATCCCAGCAGGGTGCCAGGTGTGCAGCGTTGCAGGGTTCCAAGGTTCCAGGGTTCCAAGGTTGCAGGGTTCCAGAATCCTTGAGGGTTCCAGGGTGCCAAGGTTCCAAGGTTTCAGGGTTCCACGGTCGCAGGGTTCCAAGGTTACAGGGTTTCAGGGTTCCAGGGTTCCGGGGTTCCAGGGTTCCAGGGTTCCGGGCTTCCAAGGTTTCAGGGTTCCAGGGTTCCAAGGTTCCAGATTTTCCAGGATTCCAGGATTCCAGATTTTCCAGGATTCCAAGGTTCCAGGGTTCCAGGGTTCCAGGGTTCCAGGGTTCCAGGGTTCCAGGGTTCCAGGGTTCCAAGGTTCCAGGGTTCCAGGGTTCCACCGGATTTTGAAGGCTGCAAGTCCCCGCGAGCCAGCCCCAGCCCTAGAGATTGAAACCCAACAGGCCCTGCTGTTGGGAATAAATTGCGCTGGGATGGTGGTGAATGCTCATTTTCAGACAAACCCAAATATCAAATTGATGTTGAAATATCTCTTTAATATCCAATGTAATCACATGTGTTGATGGTGATATCCCAATGTTTCACCAGGCTTGATGGTTAACCTCACCATTTTGGACCGAAACATAGTTATTTATGCTATTTCTAGTTTCATTGGATCGGTTTTCAGGGAAATGTTACAGGAAAGCCCAATCAGTTTCATGGTAACAACAACCACGGTTTCCTGCAGAAATGTCCATCTTCCAATCCAATTCCACCAAGGGACCCTTGGTGAGGTCCATCATCCATTGGATGATCCCTTTCCACAAACTCAACCGCCCCTATCGATCGTACAAAAGTGTCTGGTTACCGGTTACCCTCTGGTAATTTAACGTAGCTATGGAAAATCACCATTTTTCATGGGAAAATCCACTATAAATGGTCAGTTTCAATAGCTATTTTGACATAATCAGAGGGTAACTCCCTCTTTGGGGCTCCAAAAACCCGAGCCAAGCGGACCTCTGTACAGGCGCAGGTCTTCTTCACGGTGGGACGTTCAAAGGCCTTGGCAAGGCGCGACTGGACGACCTACGGATGCGATGCCCAGGGGTTTTCCCCTGGAAAATGAAGGAAAACCCAAATTCTATGAAAAATCATTCTAGGTACCACACTGGAAATCGGGTTTCTATCTTCTAGGGGGGGTTACTATGTTTACTATGTTTACTATGTTTACTATACTACACAAAGATGGAAAAGTTGGAAAAGTTGGTGCTAGCCACAAAGGCAACCCACATGGGCAATGGGTCCAAACAAAAGGCCAAGAAAAACCGTGAAGAATTGCATCTCGGCTAAGCCTCAGTTGTGACAATCATCTTGGTTTGTAAGTGGTCAGTAGAGCTGCTTAGCAAGTTCCCAATTGTTCCTGCCCAAGTTTTTCTGACAGACAATATTGATATTTACGGATTAAACCATTTTTCCTAGGCCAGAAACCCATCGTTGATCGGTGTATCCCCAGGTTCTATTTCTAGTGTCCCAGCTTTTGTAGGTCAAATCGCCAACATTTGTTGAGGCCCAAAGGGCCCTCAAACAATCGCAAAGTTGACGCACATACCTTGCTGAATTCCATGGTTCATCGGGAATATATATATATATGTATATGTATATGTGTGTGTATGTATATATATATGTATATAATATGTATATATATATAACTATACAGTAACTATATATAATGTGGGCTAAAACAATACCATAAACGCACCATCCAGTCATCACCATTTTTATAGCTGGTATGTCCCCTCCGGCTCCCCGGCTTCACCATTCCAGCACTGCGAGGTCCGTTTCCGGCGGGTGTAGGTGATCTGCCGACACGGTTGTGATAAACCGAAACCACGGTTGAAATGGTGATTTCTGGTGGGATATACAATCTGTTTATACTAGTTATTATAATAATATACATCTATATATATATATATCATATTATACTAAATCATGTTTGCTTCTGGTAAGACATGGTGTATGTGATACATGGGTTGATGATTTCAAGGGTGATAGAGCTGGGGAAACTACTCATGATTCTCATACAACTCCCATGATTTCTTGTTGATCTTACTCATCTTACCGTTATTTTCTCGGTCAACCCCTGTTTTGTTGCTTCAAAACCCCACGTAAAGGTCGCTTCAAATCACCCATTGATGAACAAAACCAAACTGCCACTTTGAGGCTGGATCCAATACGAGTTCGATAGATAGAATGAATCCTATCTAATTCTTGATGGTAAAATCTCCCCATGTTTGCCCTCTAGTAAACGTTTACATAGCTGTGGAAAATCACCATTTTACAGCTGGGTAAATCAACGAACTTTCTATGGCCATGTTCAATAGCAAACAGTAACAAATTACCAGAAGGCTAGATCCCATATTTATATATATGTATCTCATATAATCATCATTAAACCATCATTAAATCACCATTAAATTACCAGAGGGTGATCTCATCCCAGCTGCTACTCTTCTGCGTCAATCCCCTGCTGAAAAATATTTTGGTCATCGGGGATCAGCGTCCAAAATATCCCAAGAAAGATTCTGTTCAACCATATTGGGATATTGTCATATCAAAATATATTAGGATATTTGGGGGGATGATGATATGATATATATATATGTATATATTATGCAAAATATCCCAATCTGGTTGAACACAAAAAATACCTCTGGTAGTCCATGGCAATGATGGCAATGGCCATTTCCCCATTTTGTTGGGGGATGTCTCAGCCGGGTTTGATGATACCAGAGGATAATGTCCATTGTAGCAGCAGCCACAAATCACCATTCATCACCATTGTTAACCATTATGAACCCATATTGACATTAACTGTGATTAATCATATCAACCATTCATAAATATTGGTTAACTATCATGAACCCGTGTAAACTATGATCAACTATGTTGCTTTACCATAACTATTATCTATGATTCACCAACTAGTGTTCACTATAGACTATTGCCATGATTCACCACCATTCACTACTATCTACTATCATTACATAGCTACTATGAACTACTATTCACATCTATTCACTATTCTTAGCCATGATATGCCATGACTAACCACCATTGTTGAAACCACCCCGCCTGCTGCCCTAACATGCAGAGACCTTCTCCCCGACCATCCGACGCCGTCCAAGTCTGAGGGACGACGAAACGGTGAAACGTAGTAGGGAAAGGTAGGTGAAAATATGGGGAAATGGATAATTATCAACAATGGTAGGTATCCAGAATAACTATCATGTTTTTTTCATCAAGTTGATAGTTATTCTGGATGATCATTCTTCATAGTTTTATTATGTTTTATTGATAATTAAATTATGGATGATAGTGATATGATAGTCATATGATAGTTAATTATTATGGATGGTCATTCTTGATAGTTATGATGGATAATACTTATATATCAATACATATTATGGGTCATTCCGAAACATTCCCTGCTGCAAGGAGGATCCTTTCGGGAGTGAAGCTTCAAACATGTGCCTTTTTGGTCACAAAAAATAGGGAATCAAGTGACTTCAGTGACTTCACCACGAAGAATAGTTGGGTTCATCAATCGTCACTGAGCCATCCCGTTTTTCCTATCCCAGACAAACTGGTTCGATTGTCAGGCATTCTTGTTTCTGGATTCCCGCCCAAAATCAAGCAGGTGGAATTAAACTAACATAAACATATAAACAAACTATGTCATACTCAATGAACCCAGTTGGGTATTTTGAGGACTGAAAGTGAAGCAGTGGCCACTGGAAGGTGCTTCGCCTCATAATCTGAAGACACGGAGTCGGCAAAGCTACTCCCCTTGCAGGCAGGGAACTCTAACCTGAGGCCAGGAGCTGGTCCCAATTGATCTCCAACATTGCCGATTTTGTGATGACTTTGTGGAAAGCAACATCACGATCAACTATGGTATGTGTACATATATATGTATATATACCTGTTGCAAACCTCCTGAAACTGACCACGGGACCTTTCCAAACCTGAAGTTGACGTTAGCAGCGCTTGACATACAATCAGAGAACTCACCATCTGTTGGACGTTTTTGTGGGCACTGTTTTTCCAAACATCATGGAGTTTCTAGGAGGATCATGCCTTAAACCCCATGCCATAAACCTCCAACCGGGGCCGGGCGGCGAATCAAACTTCAGGTAGTACACCACACCACTTCCATCCTGTCAATGATCTCCAAACAAAACGGCAAACCTCCTCTGAAGCTTCATGGAAGATGGCACCGCAAAGCCCTGAAGTGGTTCAACGGGACCTTGATTGAAACCCAGCTGAGATCACTTGAAAAGTCTTTACCCTCCAGTCATTTAACAGTGTGCTATGGAAAATTGCCCATTTAGTTTGATGATTTGCCTGGAGATGTGGAAAACCCATGGTTTTTGTAGGACAATGATCTACAAAGGGTGGGTTTTCCACATCGAAGTGTTAGTTCACCCGTCCTCGCGAGTGCCGAACATCACGAAGGTGGTAGAGGTCAGGTTGGGCTCAGTGATGATGTTATCCACCTGAATGAGCTACGGAATTTGCACACCCCCCAGTGGGGATATTCATGGGATTATATCAAGCATAGTGGAATGTATACATCACATATTATGTAAATATAGATATACTGTGTATATGTACATATATATATATAGACGTGTAACTACATACCTGTATATGTACGTATATATATAATGGGAATATAACCAAACTGATACGATATTTGGATTTGCCAAAAATAGGGGATACACCCAAAACGTTGCTATTTTACCCAGGAAACTGATAGTCCTTTGATTTGGAAATGAGGGGGTGCCAAATTTGTTCAGACAAACTGTGCTGGTTGACAAACGGAAATCCTGAAAACATAGATGTTCATTTCAGGCTAGAGATCAAGTGGCAGTGCGCCTCTGACTCTCCCTTGTTGGTTGATGGTTTCGAGATTTCAAAGGATCTGAATATCCGATATCGCAGGGTCCAGCAGGTGTTGATCAAATTTCCTGTACATCATTTTTCACCCACGAATGAGAGCTTCACTTGATGCTTGATACAAAGCGCTTTCAGAAAACAGATGTCACTTTGGCTAGATGGCATCTTGAGTCATCTTGAGTCATCTTGATGTGTGGCGCTTGCTTCAAATTTAGCAGTTGGCGATGTCCACCAGTTAAACACAAACATGGCCTCGAAGGGAGTGTTGGTGACCTTGAAGTCGTACCAAGATTCGCCTTCGTTCCAGGTGAAGATCACCTGAAAAGATCGGAAAATGTCACCACTGGATAGAATGGGAGTCCTCTAAAATCTGTCCCTTCCAAGCTGTGAGTTTTTGTACAGATGATAGTGATGCCAAAATCATTCAAAATCTGTCTATTTTTTTGGATATCTTTCGAATAGAAATACATCATTGAGACAATTCAATCCCCCTGTCCTTGGAGCCCGTCTAGATATTGGAGGTCCAAGAAGACTATGGAAATGTCATGGGGCCCTGTGAGGCCACATTGCCCAAGGCTTCAATGCCCGGGTGTTCAACCAATTTCGACGGCTATTTAAATACGTGTTTAAAGTCAAGTAATTGGTCATCCCATAGACCAGTGGTCTGGTTAGTAATAAAATTCAACCATTGACCTTTATGTGAGTGAAAAATTATGAAAAATTGCCCTGGTCAGTTGGTCAGTTTTTTTGATACTAAAACCTCCCATTTTTATATCTAACCAGGTCATCCCTGGTCATCCCTGGTTTCAATGGCTGTTGTGGCGCCATTTTCCCCATGGAATCCATGGCTTCAAAATGAACTGCACATCTGAAATCCATCGCCATCCACCCGTTACGTCTATTGAAACCCCGGGAAGTCGGGGGGAAGCAACTCACTGGTTCCATCATTTTCTACAAAAAAATCATGGCCAGTTTGGAAAATTAACCCCCTTTCATCACCCTGGGACCGGGGCCATACCAACTCACCAACTAAGTCATATTTTCAGTTCATAAAAACCAGTGAATCCCTTCCCCGAAAAAATTGCATACTGACCAATCGAAAGAGTGGAATGTATGGGATCCATTCAATCTGCTATCAGTGGATTGGTTAAAGCGAAAATCTTCAGGAAACTATCTGTTCCCCATCAAATATGGGGGGTTCAACCACAACTTTTCCTTTCAACCAAATCCAATGATGTTACCATCCTACTACCCTTGGACCCGAAACTTGGCCGGACGGGCGCCTCTCCGGTCTTCTTCAGATCATCGGCCATCACTATGAGTCCACCGTGGTCACCGAACTCGTAGATGAAGGCACCCTTTTTTCACGGGCAGGCCGGCAGGATTTGATCAAAAAACCATGCGGGTTATGAATCCAACCCGTGAAAATGTGTTATCCTTGGATATGCATTTTGTTTGGCATTACTACAGTATCAATCAATACACTAAAGCTGGTTATATTGAAAAGGTTCATCTTTAGCAGATGTGAAAGATTCTCATTGGAATTAAGGTCCGGGAGACCATAAAAATCGTTAGAAAAGGAAATCACCCAGACTCACCAACTTTTCACCTTCATATATACCTTTACAGTAACTCCCAAAAAGATAGAAAACGTCCATACCACTATTTCAATAGGATTAACAGTACTATCTTTGTGCGCCTTTAGATAAAACCCGATCTTTGTATGAATTTTGAAATTTCAAGCATTCCATTCATAAAAATCCCATTGGTATACCATGTTCTGTTGGTTTCATGGTGGTTACCACCATGGTTTTTTTTCGGTCTCCCAAGGCGTTCCGCTCGCCTTGTGGGCTTCGACCCAGGTCAGCCCACCGTCGCGGGAGAAGAAGGTGCTCGTCTCCTCCGGCTCAAACCTGGGCCACAAGGGTGGTCCAAAAAGATAGAAAAGTCAGTTCTCGCGATTTTAGTAGGACTGTACTTTTCTATTTTTTGTTGGTGGTTGCGAGATATATAGATACAGATATAGATATGGACATAGACATAGATATAGAACGATATAGATATGGATAGTCATCCTGGAGTAGACAGAATGTGGAAATTTCAAAAAACCCTTATATACTGAAATGGGAAAGTGTTCAAAATTCCAGATTCTATCTACTTCAGGATGACGGATGAGATTACCCGCCGTGTCATCAAACATGGCTCGCTGGAACATCCCCCAGCAATTAGTTCCTTGATTTTCCCAGCTATAAACCTCCAGTTATGCTGATTTTCCTCGTATTTCCCCATGATCTTGCCATTGAAACCTCCATTTTTCCCAGCCAGCCATGTTTGATGACACCCTTTCGGCCGACTGCTTGCCGCCTCCCTTTTTTCCAACGCCATAACGCGTCACCAGTTGGATGGCCCTTCTCCGCCTGGCGTGTGTTCAAAACCTATCTGAAAATATAATTCACAGTGGATCATCATCCCAAATATGGACATATATATATACACATAGAGAATATCTACAAATATATGTACCTATATACATATAAATATCAATTAATATTATATATATATGTGTGTGTGTGTAGTCAACATGGTAGTTGGTCATAGCAAATGTTTGAAGCCACCAACCAGCTATATGTTGAAATATCTCTTCAATTACCGCAAACAAATGGGATTCCGTGTTCCTTTTTTAACCAGTTCACAACCAACGCCATCTCGGCCAACTAGTTGCGGCAGTGAACCACAGTCAAAAAAAACAAACAGTGTGGTGTGTATACAAAAAAAACTGCTGTGTTCCAAGGTACTCCACCGGCTCGTGGCATCTGCAGTCCATAGACTTCGGGGACGTAGGCGCGGACATTCCCGACGTGGGGGGAGACATCCCGCCCTCGCCGTCAACTCTGGGCCTCGGCTGTCCGGTGGTTTCATGTCGTTGCACATCGCCCAGATGTGACCCTGGTGAAACGTCATGTGGCGGCCATCGTCATGTTCCCTTCAGATGATCAAATTTGAGGCATCCGATTTCAAATCAGTTTCAGACAAGCCAATTCAGCAACTTTTTTGTTCATCCTGCTATCGACCTACACCTTGGTCTTTTTTGAAGCGAGCAGCTCGCCCAAGGCAGTTCACCGTTTTCGCCGTCGCGGTTTGCCACTGGCTTTCGGCCTCATTGCCGAGGATGTCTGGTGGAAGCTGCAGGATCATCGCAGCCTGGTTATCCAATAGTGGTACATGGTAAACCCCACCAGCAATTCAGTTGCGAGTCGCTGGATGATCCTCCAGGTACCAATAAGGCCTTTCATGACCCCGGAGACATGCAGAATGAAGCCGTGAGTTCTGCTGGCAGAGCCTTGTCGGGCTCACTGCCCTCTGCTACTCCACCCTGGCCGTTGAAAATCTTGTTCTTTATGAGAAAATCATGTTCAAATGGGTATACGCTTTGGCAACCAAAACATGGCAATGGAAAATCCACCATGTATAGTCGCTTTTCCCAGCTATTTTTACCTCCATTTAGTCCGGGAATTTCCCAGCTAGCCATGTAGGGTAAACACGTCTACGACTTCTCTGCATCCAAGCTGCTCCTTCTCTATCCGTGACACGCATGTCGACACCGGGGAGGTTGGCATGTCAGCCACAGTGGCGCAGCTCGGAGCTTTCCTAGGTACCCAAATCATCCAAGTCATTAGACCACGGTAGTATCGAAAACCGTGGTGACGACTGGGGATCCCCCATGACTTAAGAAATCCCCCATATGCCATGGTCAAACACATGGATAAACATGGGAATATTTGGTATGGTCATCCACCGTGGGAATCCACACTCTTAATGGCCATTATAAATCCCTGTGGAAACGGTGCAAAACAGCCGAGTGGCTTGGCGGTTTCCAGGCTGAAGTCCGTCAAGGGAAGCACCTGGCACCAGGACATCCTGGGGTCCCCAAAGCTCTCTAAGACTGCCACAAATATGGGGCCAAATACTGGCAGAAATGGTGATTTGTGGATCATTAAAATATTGATCGTTGTCATAGACCTACCTATCAAACATAGGGACTTGATCTGTGGGGATTGTCTCAAAATGGGGGATACCATTTCATACCCCAAGATGGCAGTCAAATAAGGGGGCAAATGATGCTACAGGGCTTCAGGGGTACCAAATCTGAAGTCTCCAATACTTCGGGCAGGCATTGCCATCTGAGATACATCATTAGAGAAATTTGCGTTGCTTTCTGGTGTGGTGAATGCTGGGAGTTCTCATATAATATATCATACATATTACTGTATATATGTATCATGTGTGTGTAATATATTCATACATCTGTATCATGTATACTGTAATCTGATGGAGTTTTGTCTCCAAATCATCCTATCCTTGAGCCAGCTAGTACAGCCATCAATTGCCTAGAATCATCACCCAGTGGGCTTAGAAGAACTGGCCAAACCAAGGGAATCTGAATCAGATCCGAAGCTCCAAAGTTCGAGGGGCTCATCGAAGAAAATATGTTTCCACTAATCCCATCCCCCTAATGTTAAACCCCTCTCAATGGTCTCAATTATGTGTAATTCCCTTACTAAACCATCTTGTGGGGTGCTCAACATTAGGCAAAAGGGCTTAGTTTGATGATCTTTTCTGCCTGCTGGACTTCAACCTGGGCACTTGTCCAAGGCCATTGGTTGAGCACTCCATGGATTTACCCCATTTGGCCCTGTCGAAACCAGTGGACTTTCAGGGGCCCTATTTTTGGGCCCACCCCAGATACGGCAATTGGAACTCCCAATGCCTCCAGTTCAAAAACTGTCTCTCCGAGAGCAAAAATTGATTCGGTCAAAATTATGTTTCGGAATCCTCTATACACTCTATACATGCATCATTAGAAATATATATATATATCATATACATACATATATATATATGATTATACAACTTGTTGAAGCATCTGGATACAGTTGCAGCTGATTTTTCTAGACGACCCACACTGTGGGTCCCGTTCCATCCGTGGTATAAAAAGCGGGGCCTCGTGAGTTCGCCAGAAGCGCTCGTATCTCAGCTGCTAGTTGATGCTATGAGATGCTATGAGGTTGCGGAGGTTAAGATGATTTAAACCCAATATTACATAATGTTACCCTCTGGTTATTTAACATAGCCATGGAAAATCCCTTATAAATGGAGGTTTCAATGGGAAAAACATTTAAATGGATCATTTTCCATGGCTATGTTAAATAACCAGAGGGTACATAATATTACAAAGATCTGTCATCGAATATCAATGATTATCATTCATGATCAAAGATCTATCATCGGATTGTCATCGGATACCATGTCTTCAGATGGAACAACCGATCGTTGCGTATCACTTGATCAGAATGATCAAGCCATGGAAATGGAGTGGTTCAGATCCTGCAAAATCAAAGAATAATCATGTGAAACCACCCGAGCAGCTACGAATGCATCTATACCGCTGTTGATTTTTTTGCGACGCAACGGGCACAAAGAGGGATGAGACGAAGAAGTTACCAGATCTGGATCACCAGGTCTTGACCCCCACTGAGCAAATGACAGAGAGCCGAATTTGTTGTGAAACTCAATGACTAGCGCTTTTCCTCGGCTCCGTTCTCCAGTGCAACGGCAAAAAATCATCTCGGGTACACCATTATGATTTAAAAAGTGAAAACCCCATTGTTGCAACTCCATGTTAACCCCTATGTTTATCTGTAATTTGACACCTCAAAAACAGGATCACAACTGCGTTTAGCTCAAAAATGGGACCTGTGTTCTTCTGTTTGTATAGTATCTTTCCACACGCCCATGTTTTGGGTCGATTACTTTTGTGTCATAATAGTGTTTTTGTAATGTGTCATTGTTAAATCCCATGTTTGATGTTGAAATCCCAATTTTCCCTGGCTACACCATCAACAATTTCACAAAAAAACGAATGGATTCTAGCATTTCTAGCCCTAATGGTAAAATCTAGAGGTCTTAGACATCAATCAATCTTCATCATCCTGAAGCCTTCAGAAACCGAGGCTGCCCAGGCTCTCATCATGTCGTCGCCCTGGAGGAATGCCTTCATCCAGGCATCGGCAAAGGCTGTGGCATGGGCTGCCCACTTCGGCCAGGCGTCGGCTGACCAACCGGCCACATGGGTGAGACTGGCCATGCCTGGAGGGATTCCAGGGATTGGGGTTTCCTGGAATGGGGAATCCCCAATAGCTGGATGGTTTATAATAGAAAATCCATCTATAAATGGATGATTTGCGGGTGCCCCTATTTTTGGAAACCCTCATATGTTCACTACTAGACGACGGATGGCCCCAGAGCGTAGAGGCGTAGAGGAGCAGAGTCTTCTGTTGTTACTATGGAGACGCGCTTTTTGCACACAGGCTCTTTTACACACAGACGCTTTTACACACAGACGCTTTTACACACAGACCCTTTTTACACGCAGGCGCTTTTACACACAGAAGTTTTTACACACAGACGCTTTTACACACAGACCCTTTTACACACAGACGCTTTTACACACAGACGCTTTTTACACACAGACGCTTTTTTACACACAGACACTTTTTACACACAGGGGCTTTTACACACAGAAGCTTTGACACACAGACGCTTTTACACACAGACGCTTTTACAAACAGACGCTTTTACACACACAGACGCTTTTACACGCAGACGCTTTTTACACACAGACGCTTTTTACACACAGGGGCTTTTACACACAGAGACTTTTACACACACAGACGCTTTTACACACAGAGGCTTTCACACAGACGCTTTTACACACAGAGACTTTTACACACACAGACGCTTTTACACACAGACGCTTTTTACACACAGACGCTTTTACACACAGACGCTTTGACACACAGACGCTTTTACACACAGACGCTTTTACACACAGACGCTTTTACACACAGAGACTTTTACACACAAACACTTTTACACACAGACGCTTTTACACACAGACGCTTTGACACACAGACGCTTTTACACACAGACGCTTTTACACACAGAGACTTTTTACACACAGGGGCTTTTACACACAGAAGCTTTGACACACAGACGCTTTTACACACAGACCCTTTTACACACAGACGCTTTTACACACAGACGCTTTTACACACAGACGCTTTTTACACACAGACGCTTTTTACACACAGACGCTTTTTACACAGAGACTTTTACACACACAGACGCTTTTACACACAGAAGCTTTTACACACAGACGCTTTTACACACAGACACTTTTACACACAGACGCTTTTACACACAGACGCTTTTACACACAGACGCTTTTTACACACAGGGGCTTTTACACACAGAAGCTTTTTACACACAGGGGCTTTTACACACAGAAGCTTTTACACACAGACGCTTTTACACACAGACGCTTTTACACACAGACGCTTTTACACACAGACGCTTTTACACACAGACGCTTTTACACACAGACACTTTTACACACAGACGCTTTTACACACAGAAGCTTTGACACACAAACACTTTTACACAAAGAGGCTTTTACACACAGACGCTTTTACACACAGACGCTTTTACTTTACGCACAGACGCTTTTACACACAGACGCTTTTACACACAGACGCTTTTACACACAGACGCTTTTACACACAGAGACTTTTACACACACAGACGCTTTTACACACAGAAGCTTTTACACACAGACGCTTTTACACACAAACACTTTTACACAAACACTTTTACACACAGACGCTTTTACACACAGACGCTTTTACACACAGACGCGTTTTACACACAGACGCTTTTTACACACAGACACTTTGACACACAAACACATTTACACACAGAGGCTTTTACACACAAACACTTTTACACAAACACGTTTACACACAAACACTTTTACACACAGACGCTTTTACACACAGACGCTTTGACACACAGACGCTTTTACACACAGACGCTTTTACACACAGAGACTTTTACACACAGAGACGCTTTTACACACAGAAGTTTTTACACGCAGAAGCTTTTACACACAGACGCTTTTACACACAGACATTTTTACACACAGACGCTTTTACACACAGACGCTTTTACACACAGGGGCTTTTACACACAGAAGCTTTTACACACAGACGCTTTTACACACAGACACTTTTACACACAGACACTTTTTCACACAGACGCTTTTACACACAGACGCTTTTACACACAGACGCTTTTACACACAGACGCTTTTTACACACAGGCGCTTTTACACACAGACAAGTCCGGCACAAGTAAAATCGCAATTTTACCTCAGTTTTTGACGATCGACCTTCATTTCGTGCGAAAGGGTTGCTCCGGGACAAGTCAAATCGCAATTTTACCTCAGTTTTTGCCGATCGACCCTCATTTCGTGCGAAAGGGTTGCTCCGGGACAAGTCAAATCGCAAATTTTCCTCAGTTTTTGCCGATCGACCCTCATTTCGTGCGAAAGGGTTGCTCCAGCACACGATAAATCGCAATTTTACTTCAGTTTTTTGCCGATCGACCCTCATTTCGTGCGAAAGGGTTGCTCCGGCACAAGTCAAATCGCAATTTTACCTCAGTTTTTGCCGATCGACCCTCATTTCGTGCGAAAGGGTTGCGTTTCGTGCCGTCTCGTTGGCACTGCCCCTGCTCCCGCCTTCAAGAGAGAAATAGAAAAGAAGGAGAGGGCAAGAGGGCAAGAGGAGAAGGTGTGAGATGAGATGTAAAGATGAGAAGATGTGAGAAGATGTGAGAAGATGTGAGAAGATGTGAGAAGATGTGAGAAGATGTGAGAAGATGTGAGAAGATGAGAAGATGTGAGCAGATGTGAGAAGATGTGAGAAGATGTGAGAAGATGTGAGAAGATGTGAGAAGATGTGAGAAGATGTGAGAAGATGTGAGAAGATGTGAGAAGATGTGAGAAGAGGTGAGAAGATGTGAGAAGATGTGAGAAGATGTGAGAAGATGTGAGAAGATGTGAGAAGATGTGAGAAGATGTGAGAAGATGTGAGAAGATGTGAGAAAATGTGAGAAGATGTGAGAAGATGTGAGAAGATGTGAGAAGATGTGAGAAGATGTGAGAAGATGTGAAGATGAGAAGATGTGAGAAGATGTGAAGATGAGAAGATGTGAAGATGAGAAGATGTGAAGATGAGAAGATGTGAAGATGAGAAGATGAGGAGATGAGAAGATGTGAAGATGAGAAGATGAGGAGAAGATGTGAGGATGATAAGATGCGAAGATGAGAAGATGTGAGGATGAGAAGATGCGAAGATGAGAATAGGTGAAGATGAGAAGATGTGAAGATGAGAAGGGTGAAGATGAGAATATGTGAAGATGAGAAGATGTGAAGATGAGAAGGTATGAAGATGAGAAGATGAGGAGAAGATGTGAGGATGAAAAGATGTGAAGATGAGAAGATGTGAAGATGAGAAGATGTGAAGATGAGAAGATGTTTTACAGACCCCCACTATTGGAAGAACCCTGCGCTCAGACGCTCTCGGGAATAAAATACTATAGTTGCTTTTGCGGATGTTCATGCTGCCTTGGGAAAACCGAACGCACGTCTTTCTTTTTCTTTCCTGTTCATGTTAACTTGCACAGGGCGAGACCTTTGCGTTGCAGGTTGCTACGTTGAAAATGGGGTGGGGTGGGATGCGGTGGGGCGATAACGTTCAGGGTAACTTGCACACGCAATTGATGCTACGCTAGAGATGTGCTACGCTACGGAAGATTTCCAGCATGGCAACTTGTCATTAGTGACGGCTCAGATTTTGGCGAAAAGCTGAGAGAAGGGTGATGCGGTTTTTCGGTTTGAAACCTGGGTTTCGGAACATTGAAGCCCAAAATGGGATCCCAGTTGTTGGTAGAATCATATGAACAAATAGTCTATGACAAATGTATTGGAAAACGCAATGAAATTGGGAAAAAAAATGGCTGAAACTCACGTTCCATCAACACCCCGCCGGGATGTTAATCAAGACCATAATATCTGTGTTTTCAGGTTTTGAACCCATTTCTAATGTCCTATCGCGGGTCATCCTGCCCCAATCAGGGATAGCCCCGCAGTCTGGATCCATTTTTTGGTTCAATTGTTTCCATCATTCGGTCTTCGAGATTTAAAATTCATCCCCAGTGAAAATTGGATCCACGATTTACTACAGACCGTATACCCAAAATCTGTTGGTTTATCATCATGTTCCTCTTCGCATTCTGAGACAAACCTAGTTTGATGGATGAAATCACCATCCTTACCTTACTCATAAAACCCCCATGTTTGATTCAAAAGTTCCCCATGTCGAGAAAAAATCCAAATGTCTATCGCTTTAAGTCTCCACTCTTCATGAAATCCCCAAGCATTCATCATGCTCATCCTAAAATAATCTAAAATCCCCATGTTAGTCGCTTGAATGATTCCAAGATCCATCCAAATTCCCTCATTTTCCACGGATCAAATGCACCTTCCTCCAGGCGCTTCGTCACCTTCGGCAGCGCCGCAGACGCCTTGGCGTCGCTCATGGGCTTCACCAAGGCAGACCTGCGAGGTCAGGCAATGGGTTTTCCCCCCCTCCGGTAATCAAACATGGCAATGGAGTTGGAGGTTTATAGCTGGGAAAATCCACCATACATGACATTTTAAGGGGAAAATGTAGTATAAATGTAGATGTTGCTGGCAATGGAAATGGAATGAAATGGATGTTTTACTGGGATTTGAATGGGAAAATCCATCAAACTGACGGTTTACATGGGTTTTCACACACTTATAGCTGGGTTATAAAGTATAGATGTTGAAAATCACTTATAACTGAATGATTTTCCATTGCCATGTTTGACTACTTGGGGGACCAAGATGTTCTGATGTCATGAATGAATCCAATCATGTAAATGTAAATGTAGGATCGCAAATGATAGTGTTCTTGATCATATGCATTTATGTGTAATATCTATATATTCGTAAACGATTCCATAAGCAGAGACCGTCCCGGATATAAATATCAGCGTAATGTTAAAGCTGACACGTTTTGCAACATTATGATGATGCTACTGGAAATATTAATAGTATGGAGGTAATGGTGTTGCATTGCATTTGCATCGGCGTTTGTACTGTTGGTGATTTTTTGGATGTTGCTCTTGGTCAATCGGGTTGTCGTTCTTTTGTCATTTGGGTTGTCACGTTTTTTTTCCAGTGCTGCGGGAACAATGTCCGAAAATGTCACAAATCGTAGTTTTCCCATTGTTTTTCTACTTTTGTCCCTTGTGATTGCTCCTTCTGTTTGGAGCCCCGCGTTTGTGGCACGGCCCGAAAACGTCGGGGTTGGCCTACTGACCAACAAATGTTTCATGGAACTATATATTGTTTAGATGGACACATAATTATGTAAATGCCTATGTTATCATAATACATTCCATGTATACCTGCGTACATGAAATGATAGTTGCATATAAAGACAGACACCAATTGACAAAAAAATGACACATGATGACACATGACCAATACATAATCAACATTTGCTCTCGCTCAGAACCTGCTGGCAAGAAAGTCGTACATATACGTTGCTATTGTATTCTGCAGTGTCTGCAGCAGTGTGCATGAAAGATTGCGTGGGGCTGTGCCCACTTTGCTGTGCTCCAAACATCTTGAAATATGGCACTCCATACCATCTTGCCTGGCATGTTGGAGTAATTGTTGGCATTGATTTGGAAAATGTGTCTTCGCACGTGTTTGGTCCGTATCCACATACCACCATACATGACCTCCTACTTGGAGGATCATCCCATTTAGTAAATGAAGAATAAGCCTGATTACTACGTCCCCCAACGAGCAAAATAATTGCCCTTCAGCAATTCAATGTGGCCGTGGAAAACCGCCCGTGGATATATATATATATGTTATATAGACATAATTGTTCCACATGTTCACATTGAAAGTTGGGATTTGATATTGCCATGTCAAATTACTCAAAAGTTGATCCACCCACGCCGACCTTAACGTCTCACGAGTGCGGCGAGCGATCACATAGTGGTCGCCTCCGGTTCCATAAATGGATCCCCAATAGCTGGATGGTAATGGAAGATCCTATTAAAATACGGATGATAACTAGGGGTACCCCCATGACTTAGGAAACCTCCATGTTTTTAAATTCTACAAATTATATAGCAATTGTCCATGGCATTTAAAAAAAAAACAAATGGTAAATCCATCCATTTCTGAGGATCAGTAAGTTTGGAACTCGCCTTTTTCGCTTGGAAAAAAATTAAAGGTCCTAGCATTCTGAGACCCATTTGGCCATTTTGGAAGGAAATTTCTTCTGTACATAATTTTTAACATCTGGATTGTTCGTAGATCAAGGGGATCATTGTTGGGAGGGTGAAGTATAGATGTAGTTTTGATCCATACTCAAGTATATACTCCAATTCACAAAGGAATAAATCCAGAAAGTTGGCTATCAGTTTCCCTCGCATTAATACACGTCACACCGATACTGTCAAAAAGTACTTTTTTTGGCTGGAAATTAGAGATTTCTCCATCAAAATAGTTCAGCCACAAACACTGCACCCCGTTTTTTACCTATGATGCGGTAAACCCATGCATAAACCATCCCAATGACACCTTTTGCCACCAGAGTTCTCTAGGGTAAACCAACATAGATGTGGAAAAACCATGGTTTCCCTACGAAAATCCTCTACAAACGCTGGATTTTCATGGAGTTTCCATATATTTTTTCGGGTTTGCCCTAGGGTAACGCACCCATGGCTGAACCAAGTGGCTCTTTACCTTCAAAAGGCCAATGGCCTTGCTGTCACGCTCCAGATACAGTACGGCACCTGACTGCAGGAACAATTACGCATTCTGTCACTTCACCATACTCCAAAGATATAGAGTAATGTAAATGGGAGTAGAAGTGGGGAATTATCCGAATATATATATATATTATTTAATGTATATTGTACATATATATATATATATGCATATATACATATATACGTGTACACATACATCACATCTACATATACTGTGTATGAAATATAAATATATCTATGTATATATATACATAAATATATATATAAATATATAAATATATATAAATATATATACAAATATATATAAATATATATAAATATATATAAATATATATATATGTAAAAATACATATAAATAAATACAAATATATATAAATATATATAAATATATATAAATATATATAAATATATATAAATATATATAAATATATATAAATATATATAAATATATAAATATATATATATATATAAATATGTATAAATATATATATATATATAAATATATAAATATACAAATATAGAAATATAGAAATAAAGAAATATAGAAATATGTAAATATATATATGTATTAATATATATATATATAAATATAAATATATATTTAAATATAAATATATATATATATATGTATATATATAAATATAAATATATAAATATAAATATAT